GCACGCGCACGCGCACGCGCACACGCACACGCACACGCACGCCTACGCGCACGCGCACGCGCACGCGCACGCGCACCGCGCACCGCGCACCGCGCACCCGCGCACCCGCGCACCCGCGCACCCGCACGCGCACACGCACACGCACACGCACGCGCACGCGCACGCGTACGCGCACACGCACACGCACACGCACACGCACACGCACACGCACACGCACACGCACACACACACACGGCGCACACAGTCGGCACGCACGCGCACGCGCCGCACACGCTCTCACATTTTGCATCGCAAACACGGCACACACGGCACATGCACACTCGGCGCACAGACACACACGCACATTCTCACACACACACACACACACACATTGTACGCACACGCACACACACACACACGCACACGGCACCCACGCGGCGCACACCCGCACACATTTCCGCATGCGCATTTGCACGGCGCACGCACGGCACAGACATGCGCACTTGGCACACATGGCACACACACGCACACACGAAGCACACGCTTGGCACACATGCGTAGCACACCCACGCAGCGCGCACATGGCACACGCGCACACGCGGCACACACACAACTTCACGCACACACATAAACACACACAACACACACACACACACACACACTTGCGGCGCGCACGCGCACGGCCCGCACATGGCGCACACACACACACACACACGCGGCACACACGGCGCACACAAAATTACACGGCACAGACACACACACACACGGCACACACACACACGCATACGGCACACACACACACGGCACACACGTGGCATACGACACACACACACGGCACACACATGGCGCACAAAGGCACGTACACACACCACAGCACAACACAACACAACACAGCACAGCACAGCATAGCACAGCACAACACAACACAACACAACACAATACAACACAACACAAAAACACACAACCACACACACACACGCACAAACACAAGCACACGCACAAACACATAAACAGACAACCACATAAACACACACACACGGCACATACACACGGCACACACACGGCACACATGTACATACACACGGCACACACACACGGCACACACACACACGGTACACACACACGGCACACACACGCACACACACACACACACTGGGCACCCACATACACAGACACAGCCACAGCCATAAACGCAGACACACACACACACACACATACATACACATACACATACACATACACATACACATACACATACACATACACATACACATACACATACACATACACATACACATACACATACACATACACATACACATACACATACACATACATACACGCACACGGCACACACACGGCACACACGGTACACACACGGCACACACATTCCCGCGTCGGCTGCGTCGTCGTTGTCGCGGGTCGCCGCAGATTGTCGCCGCCGCCGATGTCAATCGGGACTCTGAGCTTGGAGGTCGAGGCTCGGTTTTTCGTGTTTGTGGGCCTCTTGGGGGCCTCCGGAGGTCGAGGCGGAACAACAAAAACAACGTGAAAAGAAACCGTCGGAGTTCTGCGCAGATTTTTTGGATCGACGCTGGGGCCTTCCTCCTTGGTGCGCGGAGCGCGCCAGGGGCGGCGCGGGAGGCGCCGCCAGGGGGCCCCAGCGCCGATCCAAGAAATCCGCCCAGGGTTCCGACAATTCATGTTTCTGCAGTTTTTTCTTGCGTTCGGACCCCTCCCGTGCTTTCCTCTCCGTCGCTTCCTCTCCCCTTTCCCCTCCCGCTGAGGCGGGCGACAAGGTGCAGTTCTTCAGCGCGCTGGCCGACAGGTGCCTCCCACGGGGGCGCCGGGCCGAAGAGTCGGTGGCCACATGTGAACCCTACCTCCGAGAGAACGCGTTTCACGGGCGCTTGCCTGGGGAACGCTCGGCGGCGCGTTTCGAACCAGGGGGTGGGCCCCCCCCCCAACACTCGGCGCCGTCGATCAAAACCAGGGGGACTCCTCTCCCCCCAAATCCCCCCCCTCCCAACCCCCCCCTCCCAAAGGGGGGGGGGTTCAAAACCCCCTCCCCCCCCCCCCCCCCGGCGCGGCCGCCAGCGCTGGCGGCCGCCAGCAGCGCCCACGGCGGGGACGCAGCGACGATGACCAGAGGCAGCCCAGGGGGCGGGGGGGATTCCAAAACCCCCCCCCCTCGCGCCTGCCCGGCGCTGGCGGCGGCCAGCAACGCCGGCGCTGGCGCCAGCGACGGCGGGGACGCAGCGACGACTACCACCGCTACCACCAACCACCACCACTACCACCACCCCCGCCTCAACCCACCACCACCGCCCAACCAACCACACACACCACCACCACCACAGCCAACCACCACAACACCACACAACGACCACACCACCACCACAGCACCACCGCCACCAAACCACCACACAACACCATCACACCACCACCACCATACCCCCATAAAAACCCACCACCACCACCACCACAATCTACCACACCACCACCACCGCCACAACCACTACACTACCAGCAGCACAACCCACGCACCACCACAAACCACACCCAACACCACACCACCCACCACCACCCACCACCGCAACCGCCACCACTACAAACAAACGTCCACAAACCACCGCCACCACCACAACCCACCACCACCACATCACCACCACACCACCACCACACCACCACCACACCAACACAACCACCACCACCACAACTCACCATCACCACCACCACCACCATCACCACAAAAACCCACCACCGCCACCACCACCACATTCTACCAACAAAACCACCATCACCGCCACAACCACCACCATTACCAGCAGCACAACCCACCACAACCACCACAAACCACCACACCACCACCACCGCCACCACCACCACCAGCACCACCTCCACAAACCTCTGCTTCAACTTCAACCCACCACCGCCACCAACCACCACCACACCACCACCAAACCACCACCACCACCACCACTACAACCCACCACCACCACCACCACCACCACAAACCACCACCACACCACCACCACCAAACCACCACCGCCACACCCACCGCCACAACCATCACCACCACAACAAACCACCATATCACCACCACCACCACCACCACCGCCACCACCACCACCACAACCCACCACCACCACCACCACCGTCGGCCTCGTCGGCGCTCCCCGCCAACGCCGCCCGCCGCCGCAGGCGCCGGCGCTGCCAGAAATGGAAATCGTCGTTCCCGCCGCCGTCGCCGCCGCCGACGCAAGCGCCGGCCCGAGGATAGGGGAAGCAGGGGAAGGGGAGGGGTTCGAACTCCCCCCCGTCACGGGAGAGGGGGGGACGGGGGGGGGTTCGACCCCCCCCCCCGTCGCGGGAGGGGTGGTGGTCCGGTTCCCCCCCCTCCAAACAACCGCAGAAACCGCTCTTTCCTACCTCCGCCCCCCACGATTTCTAAGGGGGTGTGGGGGTGCACTTCGTTCGGGATGTCCCGAGCGGAGTGGGCCCCCACCACCCCTTAGAAGTCGTGGGGGTCGGAGGTAAGGTTCGCATGTGGCCACCTAGATAGGGGGGTGAGATGGGAGGGGGAAGCAGGGGGGGAGGAGGGTCAGGAGCGAGATGCAGACGTACATGGGTCCCTTGGGGCTCCCCCATAGCCGCCCTGGCGGGGCCTGGCCAGTGTCCGTCGCTGTTAGACAACCGCGGGCGCGCCGCGGGGCAGGGGGCTGGCAAAGGGCAGCCGCAGGACAACCGCGGGACAGCCGAGGGCGCGCCCGGGCCGACGCGACTGTTTTCTGGCGCGGCCGGGGCCCTTCCAGGGCAGGGCCACGCTCGCCCTCGCGCAGGCTCGCCTCGCCCGCGCGCGCGGCACGCACCGAAACCAAGGCCACTTTCCCAGGTGGGGGACTCTGTTTCAAGTCGGTCTTACAGTCGGGACTGATTTGTAGGTCGACCCTGCCAAGTCGAGGGTACCCTTGTGTCCTGAGCTTCGCGACCCATGCCTTCCTACATTATTATGGCAATGTGGCCCTCGGAAGGGTTTTTGTGTCCTCTACAATCAACCCCGACTAACTACCCCTTCAAACTCTGATAAATCGACGAGGGGCCAGATGTGTCGAGGCAGATCCAGGGATGTCCAGGTACGTATGGAGGAACCCTGGAAACTCCTGCGGGAGTCGAGGGAGAGCAGGAGTCGTTAAGCCTTTCACGAGGGGGGTGGGCGGGAGGCAGGGGGGAGGCTAACTGCGGAAACAGTTGCCCTGGACGAGGCCGCCCAGGCATTGGCAACAACAGCCGTACAGCAAAGAGCCAACGGCCGTCAGCATGCTTGCCCAAACCCAGGGGGAAGGGAACATTCAGATGGAGGGGAGGGCGAGTGCTAGGCAGGGGGGGGCAAATCCAGTCCGCCGACTTGACGATTTTCTCACAATGTCGACCCCCAGAGGTCTCGACCCGTTCCCCAGACCCGTTTTTGATCCTGAGCCGTTTTTTTTTTGTTTTTGTTTGTTTTTGTTTTTCTCTTCTTTTTTAGGTTCGGCGATGGCACCCAGATGCCCAAAATAGCAAGAACTGTCCGCCGTTATTTTTCACGACGCGAGGGGGTCTGGGAAGTCATTGAACAAAGAGTCGGGGTCGTACTACGGAGTGATTCAAGGGAGGGAAACCCACCCGGACCAGACAAGTGGCGTTTACTACACGGCCTTGGGCGTTTACTAAAAGCCCTGCCCTGTTGGACTCCTTCCATGGGTGCGTGTGCTAAACGGCTTCGCTTATCGGGGGTGATGATTATGGGGGTGGATTTCCTGCTGCTTGTATAACCGAGGAGATGGCGGAGGAGGAGGAGGAGGAGGAGGAGATTGAAGAGGAGATCGAGGAGGAGGGGGAAGGAGGGGAGGGGAGGGAGGAGGAGAGGAGGAGGGAGGAGGAGGAGGAGGAGGAGGAGGAGGAGGAGGAGGATGATCGAGGAGAGGAGAGATCGAGGAGGAGGGGGAGGGAGGGGGATGGAGGAGGAGGAGGAGGGAGGGGAGGAGGGAGGAGGGGAGGAAGGAGGAGGAGGAGGAGGAGGAGGAGGAGGAGGAGGAGGAGGAGGAGGGGGTGGAGGGAGGGAGGGAGGGAGGGAGGGAGGGAGGGAGGGAGGGAGGGAGGGGAGGGAGGGAGGGAGGGAGGGAGGGAGGAGGGAGGAGGATGGAGGAGGAGGAGGAGGAGGAGAGAGGAGGGGGAGGAGGAGGAGGAGGAGGGGGAGGGGGAGGGGGGAGGCAGGGAGGGGCCAACAAGGTGAGGCAGCCTCCCCTCCATCCCCTCTCCGCAGGTGGGTCGGCGGCACGCTCCGGGAGGTCGTGCCGCCCACCCTGGGCCGCGGCGGCGGTGGCGCCCCGCCGCCCGAACTGTGCGCCGCGAAGGCCCCCGCCGTCCTCCCCGTGGGTGCCGCCGCCGTCCGCCGCCGTTCGCCGTCCGTCGGCCGTCGTCGAATCACTGATGGGCCCATTTTCCACCACCACTACCATAGGGAGGAGGAGGATGAGGAGGAGGAGGAGGAGAAGGAGGTGGAGGAGGAGGAGGAGGAGGAGGAGGAGGAGGAGGAGGAGGATGAGGATGAGGAGGAGGGGGAGGAGAAGCAAGAGGAAGAGGAGGAGGACCTCCTCGTCCGCCCTTCTCCCCCGTCCTACCTCTGGTAGTGGTGGTGAACAATTTGCCCATCAATCGCAGCGTCTCGTCACTGGGGCAGAATACGCGCCAGTCGTTGAAAGTAGGTGTTCTTGGATACCCAGATTCCAGTCTGCTGTAGGCGCCTCAAAGATTAAGTGGTTTTCTTTTTTCCTTCGTCTTCAGGGGTCGGACGGGGACCCGATCTACTTCCAACGCCTTCCTACTTCATGTTTCTACCCACTTCTTCCGACCGACGGGTAGCGGGGGGAGCAATGGACCAGTTCTTTTTATGGCTTGAAATCGGCTTCCGATCAAAATAGAAGAGGCGCGCTTGGAAGCCTCGACCCTGCCCTCCTTCCGCTGGCTGATGCAGCCCTCCCTGCCGACCAGGGAGTCCGTCTCGAGGATCTCGATCATTTGGATGAGGTCCCCCACCGCGGTTATCGAGTCCTCATCCGGACGCGCCACTACAACCACGGCCATGTTTGGGCGCATCGGCGGCCCAGCCAATACGAGGCGTGCTGACATAACGTAACGATCGGCGAGCCAGTAATTAGAACGCCGAGTCCGTCACACCGTGACGCACACTTGACGCAGAAGAGCAGCGCGAGGAGCACCGCAGCTTATGCTATGAGTGCGCCGTCCGTTCGTCGCCGCCGTCCGCCGTCCTCCCACCTCTTCTCTCTGCGAACAATTGCCACAGTGCGAGGTTTTCGGCAACTCTTCACGCTTGGCGTATCCCCACCAGTACGCCACTGCGGCCAATTATCTTCGCTCCGCGCCCCAGACGTTGACCCGTCTCTTGACCTTCGCCAGGGAGCCGCCGACCAAAACAGTATCCCCACCAGCCCATTCAAAAACCCTGCCCATGAGAGCTGACGGGAGAGGGGATGAAGAGGCACACGCAGTGAGACAGAGCGGGCAACCAGGGTGAACAGAGGAATCTCTGGCAGCAAGGGGGTGGCCTCGGAGAGCCTCTTCGGGCCATCCCTGGGGCCCCCGCGGGGGCGAGGGACGGAGGAGGAGGAGGAGGAGGAGGTGGAGGAGGAAGAAGACGACGACGATGACGACCACCACCACGACGACGACGAAGAAGAGGAGGAAAACAACAGGAAGATGATTAGGGCCATGACGAGGACGAAGGCGAGGAGGAGAGGGAGGAGGAGGAGGAGGAGGAGGAGGAGGAGGAGGAGGAGGAGGACAACGAGGACGAGGACAAAGCCCCGCAAAGTCGCCTCTTGGAGCCCTCTTCGGACTCTTCTGGGAGATCTTGGGGTCCTCTGGGGGTTCTTTTGGGGTGTCTTGGGGCCCTCGAAGCGCCTTTTTGGAGCTCTTTTGGGGGTGCCTTGAGAGCCCTGGAGGGCCTCTTGGGGCCATCTTGGAGGCCATCGATAAAAAAATGGGGGGGGTCCCCGATTTCGCGCCTCCCCAGAGCCGTCGGGACCGCCTCTTGGAATCCCCTTGGGGCGCTGTTGGGCCGCTTTTGGGCGCTCTTGGGGCCGTCTTTGGAGGCCTCTTGGACCCCTAGTGGTCTCCCTTGCGAAACGGCGAGAAGGCACAACACATTGATTTCCCCGCATGCTTTTTGAAGTATCCTGGCCTCTTGGGGGTCCTGAAGAGGGCTCCGAGAGCACTTGGAACCGTCTTGTGGCCCTTGTTGGGCCTCTTGGAGGTATGTCGGAAGCTATTTTGAACCATCGTCAGCTATATTGAGCCGTCTGATAGGCTATCTTGGAGCCATCGGAGACCCTCTTGGAGCCAGGGCGCCCTAACACTCCGCGACCCCCCCAAAAAACCTCAGGGAGGCGGGGGGAGGTAAACATCTCCGGAGGGAAGACGGCTTTTGGAAGAGGAGAGAAAGAATTCGTTAGACAACCTCAGCCCAAAGGGCTGGTGGGATTTCCGGCCTCTGGGGGCCCCTGCTGGGCGCTGGGGCCTTCAGGGAACGATTCGGGATGAGACACCAGTCCCAGGAAAGTGGTCGAGACCTCCAGGGGCCATTCTGTAAAAGAACACCACGTTGGAGATTTGGGTCCGTCGTCGTCCGGCGTCCGTCGTCCGTCGTCCGTCGTCCGTCGTCGTCGTCGTCGTCGTCGTCGTCGTCGTCGTCGTCGTCGTCGTCGTCGTCGTCGTCCATTTTGGCTCAAGTCATCATCAGGGAGCTGCATCTCACCCTCGCACATCAGTTTTTGTAGTCTCACCGCCACTCATTTTGTGTGGCACGCACATCGACACCACGGATGCTCGCGGCTTCCTCGGCAGCTCCCGTCTCCCCAGGTTTTGGCGGTGGAGCAGCCGCGGCCGCAGCTGCTGTTCCCGCCGCCGCACTCGGACAACGCCGTGTGAAGGCAAGGACTTCCACAGGAGAGGAGGAGGACAAGATCGAGGATATCATGAGTGACGGAGATACCGATCCAGGGGACGTTTCTGCTGTTATCGCTCAGCCAGCTCCGGTACCTGAAGGATTGGAGAATGGCATGGGGACACGTTTATTCAGAGCACTGACTAATGATTTCCGTAGTACCTTAGCCCAGAGCGTGCTCCCGTTGGAGAAGGAAGTTAAGAAAGTGGCAAACAAAGTCAAGAATACTGACAAGACCGTGGCCGCCATGAAGACCGATCTAGTGAACCTGACCGCCCGAGTCACCGTCATTGAGAACGGAGGAGGAGGCGGAGGAACAGGTAGTGCTGGCCACGGACAAGCTGCTGGTAGTGTTGCTGGATCGACATCCGACTTTGCAGCCGCCCCTCCCACCATCAGACCTCCAGTCAATAAACGGCAGATTTTGTGTGTAGGAGGATATCAGTACACTGAGGGGCTGGAACTTACCAATGATCTCAAGCAGATCTTAGCCGAGTGCCACATCACGGGAGTAAAGAAAGTATTTCCTGTGGGCAGCTACGCGGATCGCGTCAATATTGAATTCGAGACGAGCCAGAACATGTGGGATTGCTTGGTCGCCATGAAGGGCAATAAGTTCGCTTCCACGCTTGCGCATGAGAACAGGCCGCGATATGTACGTGACCCTACCAAGAGGCAGCTGTGGCACACGATCGACAAATATCCAGAAGAGCTGACCTGCCAGAACAGAGCCACACACGCCAAAGACCTTCTCAAGGCAGCTATTAGTAAGAAGTGGCCAAGCCTCTCTGAACCCGAGCTGATGCAGATGATTGACGCGTGCAGGGACATGGGCTCAGTGGTGCTGCTCCGCACGTTCCTGCCCGCCGATATATTTCCGAGGAATCCGTTGAAGATCCTGATGCGCAATTTCCCCACCTATAACCTGAAGGTGATGCCTGAGGCTCAGGAATGGTTGAGGTTACACGGAGTGGAGATAGATATTTCTCAGCATATGGACGAGATCAATGATCCACCCCGTCGAGGGGGCTCTTGACTATCCTCAGATACGAATAGGCGCCTTCCATCTAGCGACGACACTATTATCATCAGCTGGAACTGCAGGGGAGTTCCGTTGCGTAGTGCCCCGAGGGGGCTAGAACTCATGGAGGCCGACTTCCATTGGGATATTGCATGTCTTCAAGAATTCACTGATGTGCTGAAAGTATGCGAGGAGATAGCTGGCCATCGCTTGATCCTAGGGGCCCCTGTACGCGGGCGGAAAAGGAGACCAGCGATCATAGTGCACAAGACGCTGAAGGCTTGCATCATCTTCGGCCCCATCAGCCTGGGGAACAACATCGCCGTGGGCATCGTCACCCCTCACGGCGGGAACCTCTGGATAGTTTGCTCGCACTTCGACGCTGACACCAATCATCATAGTCAATATTACACGGACATCGCCGATTGCGAACTGTTGCTTGGGAGATGCCCACCACATTTCACGCCCATGTTGTGTGTAGACGCCAATGCATCTTTCGAGCGCGACTTTAGACCATCCTCGACTGTCGGTCCTTACACTGCAGGTATTAAGAGCTGGAAAACTGATGCTTTTTACGAGTTCATAGTCAGTAACAGTTTGATCTTGAGTAACGCATAGAGTAAACCTTTGATGGGGTCATGCGCTTGCTTCTACAACGGCAAGTTCGAACCCAGGCAGATAGACTTCGTGGCTATTGGCAGTGGACCCTCTCGCGGCTCCTACGACTGCCAGGCTCGCTGCTGCTCCGCTTGTAAGAGCGATCACTGCCCTCTAGTTTTCAGGTTCTTTGCCGCGAGGAAACCTGTGCCGCAGTTGTTGCCGAATATTGAGTGCAGTTTTAGGACCAAGCCAGTTGGCTGGAGATTGCTCGACCACACTTTCGCTGGGAAGGTGGGGGGCCAACTCGGAATCGAAGCTCGCCTAGGGGCCGAATTCAGTCTAGATGACGTGCGTTTTCGTTTGTATGGCGATGGCCACTTAAAACAGCACAGTAAACATCGTAGGACTTGCGGCTGGGGTTTTTCGGTCTTCAACGACCCCCCAGGCATTCCCGAGAATTCGAGGGCCCCAGGGGCCCAAGTCGATCCGCTTTTCCAAAGCTGTGGACCTGTCTTTCTGGATCCCCTTCAGGAAGGTTTCCTAGGGGCTCTCAGGCAGACCAACGACACCGCGGAGCTGACCGCGGCTATCGAGATGGGACTCTGGCTATTGGGGCAGCACCTACCGACGGGCGCGGCTTCGATTCCGAGAGGTTCGGTCCTGGAAGCCGTCTTCGATTCGACCTACGTCTTGGGGATGCTGCATTACAAGTTCCGACCCAAACATAATGTTGTGCTAGCCTTACTACTCCAGCACGTCTGGGAGGCCGTCCAGAAGGAATACGTGGTCTTCTTTTTCCTGGATTAAAGGGCATTGCGTGTGCAGGGGGAATGAAATCGCTGATCGTTTAGCGGAAGCTGGATGCCAACCTATCCCTGGAGAAATGGAACAATATAAATGGTCCCGCACCCGGCCTTGCCCCATTCCATCCCTGAATGCAGAGAAGTTTTGCTCCATCCTCAATAACTCGGATATCCCTCTGTCGGAACAACAGCATCTTTATCTTCAGTGTGCGTCCCAGCAGGAGGCATTACTTTTTTCACAGGCCGTGGAGAGACTTGCTTGATCGACCGCGCAAGACTCAGCTGATTACACTTGATAGTGACGCAAAGGATGTTACACCGTTTGCCTCGGAGATCACCCGTGTCGATCGCCGAGGTTCCCCTGTTCCTTCCCTGGGCTCGTTTACCGCCCTGGCGGGCAAGATCGCCTCGACTTGTGGCGAGAAAATCCCCGCGGGACCCCCGAACGTTCCCCTGGATCATCCTCTGAGTTACAGGATCCAGCAGTATTTGCAAGCGCGGAACACCGAGCATGACCTGACGCTCAGACAGGCCATGAGCTTGCAGCTGGTCCCGCTGATGCGCCAGCTCGCTTTTTTAAAAGCAAGATATTCGTGCAGCCTATTTCGTACAGCATCGTAAAGTCGACCGTTTCCGTGGACAGAATAAGGTGAAGGCACTGAAGGTGGGAGGAGGGAACGAGTACATCACGACGGATGAGGACGAGATGAGGGAAGAGGTGGCTCGGTTTTATGAGACGCTGTTTAAGGATCCGACGGATGCTAGCCTTCCCAAGTGGATTTGGACACACTGGGGCCCCGAGGCTTTGGAGGAGCTGCCCAAGCGCCTGGGCGCCCTGTTGATTAGGAAGGGCCTGCCTCGCCTCAAGCCAGGAAAGACCTGTTCCAGAGATGATTGCATTGTCATGGAAATGTTGAAAGAACTTAGCACCGAAACCCTGGACCTACTAGCTGAATTATATGTACTCCGTCTACGTAATCATCCCAGTGAACAACTAGATCCGATATTCAATAGACACCAGGTCACGCTGCTAGCCAAATTCTATGGAGCTTGCAGGGTCAAGGATTTCCGCCCGATCGCTCTGCTGTCTTGCGTGCTTAAGCTGTATTCCATGTGCCTGAGCGAGCTGATAGAGCTTGGTCAGATGCCCTTGTCGAAGCTCCAGTTTGCGTTCCGCAAGAGCTACCAGGTGCATGAGGTCGTAGCCACAACCCGCCTGTTGATTGAGAGAGCAGTGGAATTCCGTGAACCTTTGTTCCCGGGGGTGGGTGACTTACACAAAGCTTACGATCATGTACGTCATCACCATACCATTCGCAATCATCGGAAACGTAAGATCCCCAGAATCATCACAGCGGCGTGGATACGAGAAATACGCAGTGGACGATCAGAATTTCTCTTGCCTGGGGTGGCACCCACACGGCAGGTTTCTCGCGCGCGATCCTTGCTCCAGGGGGGCCCTGGGGCACCCAGACTTTTCAACCTCTTCCTGGATGACCCGATCTCCGAGTTTGAAGATTTATGTGAAAAAAACGGATGGGGCTACCCGCTGGAACCCGAGGACCTGGCTATGCTGAACGCCCAGAAGAAACGCAAAAAGGACCCAAGGATCGCCCGATTACCCCTCATGGCTTTCGCCGACAACTTTTACTTGCTTGCCAGTTCCGCTCAGATGCTGAGAGCAATGTGGACAGAATGGCACCGTATCTTACGCCAGCGTTTTGCTTGCACGGTCTTGCTCAGCGACTGCTTCTGGCTCACGACCGCCAAGGACTCGGCGGCGACGCTGCGCTTGGAAGAAGGCCTCGCCCCCCGTCTCGGTCGCTCCGAGGGATTTCGTCAGCTGGGGGCGTGGATCACCCTGGTTAACTGCGCTTCCTCAGCGGTCAGCAGAGGCATCACGAGAGCCTGGGCAGCCTTCAGCACACATCGTGGAATCCTATGCAGCACGCGCAGCCCCATCTCGAAGCGTCTCGGCCTCTTGGACACGATCGTGCGGCAGGCCGCCTTTTTCTGTTTTGGAAGTTTGAATTTCACCAGAGCTCATCTTAGCCGTATCCGTGTAGTACAGTATCGCATGATTCGCCATATGTTAGGTATCCGCAAACCAGATGAGGAATTTATGGAAGATTATATGAGACGGGTTTATCGCACAATTCACGAGTTGATGATGAACGCCAAAACCATGCCCTGGGACCAGTACGTTTTGACCCTCGGACACCGCTGGGCGGGCCATGTTGCCCGTATGAAAGTATACGAACCCGACCGCATCGTGTATAAAGCCTTGGGGTATAAAGATTACAGATATCTCAAGCACCTCGAGGACTCCATAGGCTCCCAAGGGCACCATTATTCTTTCCACGTCTGGCGATGGGAGAAGCAATTCGTTGACTACTACGGGCTGCAGTGGCGCGAGATCGCCCTGGACCCCGAACGCTGGAAGGACTCCGAGTTTGACTGGAGTAACTGGCGTCGTGAGGTTCAACTCGGACAGGGAACGTCGAAAAAACCCAGAACCCATACCTCCGACTGCTCCTGGATCTATCTGAGTTTCAAACATTACGCTTTCCTGGCCTCGGATCTGAGTTCCTTCTAGTGCTGAATCTTGGATCGACTTGGAGGGCCCCCTCTTTAAGATCTCCGCTCAATCTCACTTCCCCTGTAGAGGCTCAGTGCCTCCAGGCACTAACATCGAGATTTAAGTTGCCCGAACGGCTAGGGCCTGGAGCCACCATCTTGAAGGCCGTGTCAAGTCAAGTCAAGTCGTCGTCGTCGTCGTCGTCCGTCATCCGTCGTCGTCGTCGTCGGTGGCGGGGTCGGCGGCGGGTTCGGCGGACTGATGGAGGCAGACGGTGGTGCAGGGCGGCGTGGAGGCTCGGGAGCCTCCAGAGGCCTCGGGAGGCCCCCCAAAGGGTCAGCAGCGTCCAGCAACCTCCACCTCCCTCCTCCTCCTCCTCCTCCTCCTCCTCCTCCTTCTCCTCCTCCTCCTCCTCCTCCTCCTCCTCCTTTCCACCCTCTCTCCTCATTGGGAAAGGGGGGATGCAGAATCTGCCGCGTGCAGCTGTTTTCGGCCCCGCCGCCGGACGCTCTCCTTCGATACATTGGTGCCTCCTGGAAGCCAGCATGCGCCGCAGAGACCGGCTCCATGAGCTGACTCGCTAACCCCACCATTCGCTATCCCCTCTCGTCCGATTCGATCCTTGTGCTTCCGCCGAGAAGGGTTGGCCAGAGCGGATGCGTGCTCCTCTTCCAGATCGTCCACGGCGGCGCGAAGATCGGTCGGCCGTCCTCCGTTGATCGGTCGCTTCCCCTCGCCCCGTTGGTGTGCCCTGGGGCGGACGGGGTGCCCGAAGGCATCCCACCAGCGTCGTGGAGCGCTGCGCAGTCGCCCGCTGCGGAGTGGCACGCCGCCCGGCGAGTCCGTCCAGCTTGGGCCCCGAGAGGCGCTCGCCTGCGGGGATCCTCCTCGTCCCCTCTCGGGTGCCGCGGGTGCCTTGGGCCGCGTGCTGGGCCGTCGTCGTTGCGGCGCCTTTCGGCGGGCGGGCGACGCGGCCCCCGTGGGCATTCCCCGCGGACGAAGGGCTGCGCAACATAATGGCATCCTCCGCCGCGCGGCAGAGGCGGCAGGGTGCCGCGGGCCGGGGATAGGCGAGGACGGCGGCCTACCCCGCGCGAGGTGTCCTCGCAGCTCGGGGAGGAGCTGATCGCGGCGGGCCAGACGGCGGCACGCATCAAGAGGGCCGCCAGGACTGGCGACGGGCTTGTTTTCCACCACCACCACCATGAGTTGGAGGGGGAGGGGGTCCTCCTCCTCCTCCTCCTCCTCCTCCTCCTCCTCCTCCTCCTCCTCCTCCTCCTCCTCCTCCTCCTCCACCACCTCGTCCTCCACCTCCTTCCCCCCTCCAACTTATTGTGGTTGTGGTGGAAAACAGGCCCATCAGACTGGGGGCCCGAGCGGCGAGCCTGCGGGCGAGGCCTCGCAGGCAGAGGTGCTGCTGCCGCTGCAGTCGGACCGAGTTCTAGGATCGAAGCCATTTCGGAGAGGGCGCCCTGATGTTCTTCGTGCCCGTTGGAGGTTCTTGTGCCTCCTGGGGAGGGCACCCTTGGAGTCTCATGCTCTTGAGGCATGCTCTTCTGGCCCAGGTCCCGCCGTACCACTGCATGCTGCCGCTGCTGCTCTCGCTGGGGGAGCTTCCGTTGCTGAAGCATCTCCGCCGCCGCTGCTGCTGCCGCCCCTCCTGCCGCAGCTGGACGAAGATCCTCAGGAGCGCTCGTTGCAAGTATCTAGATGTTTGAAATCGGTCTGCTGCGAGAGCTGGAACAACAGACTTCGCGTAGTTCTGCTCCTCGTCCTCTTCCTTCTTCTCTTTCTCCTCCTCCTCCTCTTCCTCTTTCATTTGCCTCTTCTCCTCTTCCTTCTCATTCTCTTCCTCCTTCTTCTCAGAGGGTGCCCCGAGAAGGCCCTCGGGCCAGCAGTGGCCCGCGGTCTCTGGAGCCCGGGGGTCGAAGGGGGGCGCCTCGAGGGGCTCCAGGGCCAGAGGCCTCCGGCGGCCCCCCTGGGGCCCCTCGCGGAAGCCTGCCGGCGGTCCAGACGCGGCCTTGATCGCGTCGTGGAAAAAGCTCAGGGCGGCAAGTCTTCACCAGCTTCTGCCCTCTGGGGGCCCTCGCCGGGCCTCGGGGCCGTTGAGAAACGACTCGGGACGACGAAGAGCCAGTCCTGGGGAAAAAGGGGTGGGACTTCAAGGGGCGCCGTCCTGGCAATTATTCACTGCGTGGAGCTCCCCATATGTGCATCTACTCGCATGGACCTGTCCGCCGTGAATGTCTAGGCGCAAGAGCTTTCGAATATTAACGGGCTTCAGTTGTGACGGTCTGGACATCAATCTAACTGCGAATGAATTGGAGTGTGAATGAGCCTCAGTAGTACGAGCGCGTCTCTGTGCATGAGCCTGGGGCCTCCTGGGGCCTCCTGAAACCTACTGGGGCTTCCTGGGGTCTCCAGGAGCCTCTTGGGACCTCCTGGGACCTCCTAGGAAGGTTTCGTGCCCCAGGAGAGGCGCAATCTATAGCAACAGACGTACATAAAACATTGCGGATTAGAGCCACAGGAGAAGGGCAATCTATAGGAACACGCGTAAAACACCAAGGACTCGTGCCCCAGGAGAGGCCCAATACATAGGAACATGAGTAAAACATTTAGGATTGTGTACACAGGAGAAGGACCATCTATAGAAACATACGTAGAACATCAAAGAATCGTGCTCCAGGTGAGGCCCAATCGATAGGAGCATACGTAAAACACATGGGATTGGAGCCACTCCTGTTGCCTTCTGAGGCCTCCTGCTCCTGGGGCCTCTCGGGGCCTCCTGTTGCCTTCCGAGGCCTCCTGGCGCTTCCTGTTGCCTCCTGGGGCCTCCTGTGGTTTCCTGAGGCCTTCTGGAGCTTCCTGGGGCCTCCTGGAGCCTCTTGGGACATCCTGTGGCCTCTTGAGTCTTTCTGTGGCCTCCTGATGCCTCCTGGGACCTCATGTGGTCTCCTGGGGCCTCCTGGAGCCTGTTGGAGCCTCCTGTGGCATCCTGAAAAGAATCTGCGCCCACGAGCCTGGCCACCAAAACAAGCAAACCGATCGAGACATCCTCAAAATCTGGCCCACCTGGGGGGTGAAAATGAGCGCCTCGCTCGAGACATCCTCCAAATCTGCTCCGAAAGCGAAGGATGTTGGGCCCAGAAACAGCAAACCGCCTGAGACATCCCCACAAAATGGCCGCGAACGAGCCCGTGCAACCACCCCTGGCGGCTCCCCTTAGGGGTGCTGAAATGAGCGCCTCGCTCGAGACATCCTCCAAATCTGCTCCGAAAGCGAAGGATGTTGGGCACAGAAACAAGCAAACCGCCTGAGACATCCCCACAAAATGGCCGCGAACGAGCCCGTGCAACCACCCCTGGCGGCTCCCCTTAGGGGTGCTGAAATGAGCGCCTCGCTCGAGACATCCTCCAAATCTGCTCCGAAAGCGAAGGATGTTGGGCCAGAAACAGGCAAACCGCCTGAGACATCCCCACAAAATGGCCGCGAACGAGCCCGTGCAAACACCCCTGGCGGCTCCCCTTAGGGGTGCTGAAATGGGCGCCTCGCTCGAGACATCCTCCAAGTCTGTGTATGAGTAAGTCTATGTATGAGTAAGTCTGTATATGAGTATGTCTGAGTGTGAGTAAGTCTGAGTATGAGTAGGTCTGAGTATGAGTAAGTCTGAGTATGAGTAAGTCTGTGTATGAGCAAGTCTGAGTATGTCCGACAGGAGGGGAGGAGAAAAGAGGAGGAGGGAGGAGGAGGAGTAGGAGGCGTCCAAGTAATAACAAGAACCCCATCTTAGGATATGGGGGGAAAAAAGCAGGACGTCGCCTGTCTGGGGAGCGACGGCGCCAGCGGCGCACGACGCAACGGCAGGGGAGTCCTGGGGGCCCGCTGCGTCTGGCGTGCGGCACGCTGGCCGATGTCATTCCTCGCTTCTGCGGCGGCAGGCCTGCCTCTGCTGCGTGGCGGGAGGCCGCACGGAGCCACCAGGTGACCAGACGGAACGGAGGACGGAATGGGGGGGGCTCGCCGCAATGCTTGCCAGCCACTGGCTCGGGCCGGAAGAAAGGGGGGGATTGGGAAAGGGGGGGGTGCGAAATCTGCTGCATGCAGCGGGCTTCGGCCCCACCGAGGGGCCCATTCCTCGATACATGGGCGCCTCCGGCGCCGGGAGGCGCCGGGAAAACCAGCTACGTGAGCTGATTCTCACCCCCCCCCCCTTTGCTGTCCCCCCCTTTCGCCCGACCCGACTGGCCCGGACGTTGCACCCAGCGGGTTCTCCGTCGGCACCCGAGCTGCACGGCCTGGGCGCACGCGTGGCGCGCTCGTGCCAGGCGGGGCCTCGCCGTCGGCGCCCTCTGTGGCCTTCTGGGCGGAGGCCCCCCGGAAGTGCAGCGGTGCCGTGCGCGGCGAGAGCTGGCGAGGGGCTGGCGGACGGACGAGAGAGAAGAGGGTTATGAGGAAGAGGGAGGAGAGAAAGAGGGAGATCTGGAGGGATAGAGAGGTCGGGGGAACGTAAGACTCGAGTAAGCCGGAACTCGGGATTGCCGACGTTTGTTGACGAGCGCGTCCTGGATTTTGACGGTCCCGTTTTCGTGGGATGTTTGCAGCGGGAGCTCGCGTCACATTTCAGATTGGGCCTCGTCATTTTTATTATGGCCCCGTCAGGCCAACCCGAGTCCCCCGTACCCGAGTCTTACGTCTCCCCGAAGAAGGAGTGAACGAGAGAGAACGAGAAAGAGAAGGAGAGAGAACAAGCAACCATGAGAAAGAGAGAGAGAGAGAGAGAGACATGCATTTTTCTCTCTAAACATATCGAGAGAAAACGCAGGTATACAGAAACGGTCGTGCGTTGGGGGGCACGGGAACCCGGGAATTTGGATTTCTGGGTTTTGCAGCAGCTCCTTTGCGAAATCGGTGGAAGAGGATGGTGAGGGGGAGGCGGCAGAAGAGGAGTGGAGGATTGGAAAAAGGATGCGGACGAGGAAGAGGAGGAGTCGTGCCCCAAGGGGCGCGGGAATCTGGAAATTGTATTTTCTGGTTGTTTGAGGGGGGCTCCCTCGGGCTCCCTTGGGGAACCCAGGAATTCGGATTCGCGGGTTTCTGTAACTCGTACGTCCGGGTCTACCAGGGGGAAAGCAGGAGGAAGAGAAACGCGAGGAGGAGGAGGGCGGAGGGGGAGGAGGAGGAGAACCAGTGTAATCTCAAGACGCATGAGCGATGTTGTAATGAACCGTTCCTCCAAGGTTTCTTTTCACAGGTCCGGGTCCTTACGATATTTGCACATCGCGGGTAATTTCCATATTGGAAAACCGTCTGAGAGTCCTCCATCGGGCCAGAACGCGAGTATTGGGACTTCACCGCGGAGAATCAACAAGACTGTTGCGTCGTGACGATCTGGAATCGTACCAGAGCCCCTCTCCTGGGAGTTCAACACTGCGAATCAACGTGACTGTTTGCTTCCTGACAATCCAGAGTAGTGCCAGAACGCAGCCCCTGGGACTCCACCCATACGAATCCAGACGACTGTGCGCGGCGCTATGGCGAGCGCCAAATTTGGAAAGGAGCCGCCCTCCATCCTGGGAAAAGGTCACACAGCTTCAAGACGAATGCGGACGGCGCTAAGGCGCCAACAACCTTTTGAAGAAAGGACCCGCCTTCCACCCTTGGGGTTGAGGAAGTGTGGGGTGGGGAGGAGGGAGGAGGAAGGAGAGGAGGAGGAGGAGGAGGAGGAGGAGGAGGAGGAGGAGGAGGAGGAGGAGGAGGAGGAGGAGGAGGGGAGGAGGAGGAGGAGGAGGAGGAGGAGGAGGGAGGAGGAGGAGGAGGAGGGGAGGAGGAGGAGGAGGAGGAGGAGGAGGAGGAGGTAGGAGGAGGAGGAGCGGAGGAGGAGGAGGAGGAGGAGGAGGAGGAGGAGGAGGAGGAGGAGGAGGAGGTCGAGGAGAAGGAGGAGGGGGAGGAGGGAGGAGGAGGAGGAGGAGGAGGAGGAGGAGGAGGAGGAGGAGGGAGGGAGGGAGGGAGGGGAGGGAGGGACGGGAGGGAGGGAGGAGGGGGAAGGGAGGGAGGGAGAGGAGGGAGGGAGGAGGAGGAGGAGGAGGAGAGGGGAGGAGGGGGAGGAGGTTGGAGGAGGAGGAGGAGGAGGAGAAGGGAGGGAGGGAGGGAGGGAGGGAGGAGAGGAGAGGAGAGGAGAGGAGAGGAGAGGAGAGGCGAGGCGAGGCGCGCGAGGCGAGGCGAGGCGAGGGCGAGGCGCGAGGCGAGGCGAGGCGAGGCGAGGCGAGGCGAGGAGGAGGAGGAGGAGGAGGAGGAGGAGGAGGAGGAGAGGAGGAGGAGGAGGAGGAGGGAGGAGGAGGAGGAGGGGAGGGGGAGGGGGAGGAGAGGAGGAGGAGGAGGAGGAGGAGGAGGAGGAGGAGGAGGAGGAGGAGGAGGAGGAGGAGGAGGAGGAGGGAGGAGGGGAGGGGGGAGGAGGAGGAGGAGGGAGGAGGGGAGCGGAGGAAGGAGGAGGAGGAGGAGGAGGAGGAGGAGGAGGAGGAGGAGGAGGAGGAGGGGAGGAGGAGGAGGAGGAGGAGGAGGAAGGAGAGGAAGGAGAGGAGGAGGAAGGAGGAGGAGGAGGAGGAGGAGGAGGAGGTGAAGGAGGAGGAGGAGGAGGAGGAGGAGGAAGGAGGAGGAAGGAGAGGAGGAGGGAGGAGGAGGAGGAGGAGGAGGAGGAGGAGGAGGAGGACGAAGGAGGAGGAAGCAGAGGAGGAGGAAGGAGGAGGAGGAGGAGGAGGGGGAGGAGGAGGAGCAGGGCCGGCGCGGTGCTCTGGGAGGAGCTGGTCACGAGGAAGCGGCTGCACCTGCCGAGCGCCAGGGCCGCGGCTTGCCAGCAGCTCAAGGCCATCCACGCCAAGATGGGCGGCAAACTGGCCTCTTCGGAGTACGCGAGAGGTTACGCCCTCAGCCCGCCTGAGGCTGCCAAGTGGAGGAGGCGGCTTCGGAGGATGCGGGAGCTCACGTTCGAGGAGGTCGAGGAGCTAGAGGCCGAGGCCAGGGAGATCGCAGGTCGACTTGAGGCTGGCTGTGCGAAAGGCCGAGACCTGCGCTGGCGAGCCTGGGCTAGGGAGGCTGTGCGAGACGGCGGAGGGGCCGCCCACGCCTTCTGCCGAGCGCCGCTGGGCTGGACAGCCGACCTGGACGGGGACAACGGGCCTGCAGGAATAGCGGCCACCCTCGACAGTTTGGTGGAGGAGTACCAGGGCATCTGGCGGCACGGCGAGATCCATCCGATGGACCTTGACGAGGTGCTGCCTGAGGCTCACCTGGAGGGGCTAGGGCAGGCGCCTACGGCAGCGGAGATCCGCAAGGCGGCGCGGTCCTTCAAGCCGTCCGCGGCCCTTGGGGTGGACGCCATCAAGCCCCAAGCTTTCGGCCATCTCAGCGACGGAGGTTTGGAAGCGCTCGGGCTGCTGCTGCTAGTGCTGGAGGCTTCCTGCCGAATGCCCGAGCAGGTAAACACCCTGCTGGTTTTCTTCCTGGCGAAGCCCGACGGAGGCTGGAGGCCGATTGGGCTCCTCTGCAGTCTCATACGGTTGCTGGGGAGGTTGCGCAGGATTGACGCGGTCGAGTGGGAGTCGGCGCACAGGCGGGACTACTTCTTCGGTGGGGCGGGGAAGTCTTGCGAGGATGCGGTCTGGCTCCAGGCCCACGATGCCAGCGTGGCGGCGGCGATGGAGCAGCACTCCATGTCGACCATGACAGACCTCTCGAAGGCCTACGAGCGGGTCACTCACGAGGGGCTGGTCGCTGCTGCTCGCCGCCACGGCTTCAGGCTGCGCAGGCTGAAGCTGGTCCTCCGCAGCTACGGCGGCCCGAGGAGGCTCAGCCTCAGCCGCTGGAAGGCGGACGCGATCAGGGTCGGGAGTTCGATCGTGGCGGGCTGCGGGTACGCCACAACGCTACTGAGGGTCGTGCTCCTCGCCGCGTTGGACGCGGTCGTGGCCCAGTGGACGTCGCTGCGGGCCTACGTGGTCGTCGACGACATCACGCTGGCCGTCTGCGGGAAGCTCAAGGATGTGGAGTTCACGGCCTTCGGCGCGACTAGACACCTCTGCCAGAGGCTAGAGGCGCTGGGGCTCAAGGTGTCCTTGACGAAGGGCAACATCGTGAGCAGCGACGAGAGTGCAGGACGGCGCGCGGCCCACCGCCTGCGGCGCTGGGATTTCAGGCTGCGGCGGGCGGTCAAGAACCTGGGCGTCGACTTCGGCATGAAGCCCAGGGCGTCGTGGTCTGTGCTGAGGAGCCGCATGGCTAGGCTGGCAGTCCGCTCGTCGCGGTGCATGGCGCTCAGGCGGGCAGGCGTCAAGCTGGGCAGGATCTTCAGGAGTGGCGGGCTGGCCTCGGTCCTCCACGGAGCTCGGGTCGTCGGCGTTCCGACGGCGATGCTCGAGAGGGCCAGGGCGGTCAACGGCCAGGCTTTTGCGGGGGCCGTGGGCAGCAAGAGCAGAACGCTGCAGTTCGCACTGCAGCCAGACCAGGGCTGGAAGGCGGACCCCGTCTTCGCGGCCAACAGCCTGCCACTTGAGGCGTGGGCCAAGGCGGTCTACCTCGGCCTGCGCAGCGACGGGAGCCTCGAGAAGGCCTTCAGCGCGGCGCAGCCAGTGTCCTGGGGCCAGGTGCGAGGGCCAGCCGACGCAGTCAAACTCACCCTCCGCAGGATAGGGTGGGAGCCAGCCGCTGCGTCTGGTTGGCGATGCTGGGTCACGGACGCAGGGGGGCAGCTCGACCTGAAGGTCTACAGCCCCAGGAGGATGAGGCAGTTCATCGAGGCGGGGATCCAGCGCTCGCTGATGATGAAACTGCACAGTGAGCACCTGGGTGGAGCGCTCGGCGGGCCGCCGACCATCCAGGTCACCCAGCAGGCGGTCGCGGCGCTGCGCAGGCGAGGTGACAGCGAGCAGGTGGCGCTGTTCGAGGCGCTGGTTTGCGGCGGCCGAGTGACAGAAGCTGATATGTATCGCGAACGGGCGGTACTCAGCCCCGTGTGCAGGCTGTGCAGCGCGGAGCCTGGGACGCAGAAGCGCCGCCTGTTCGGATGCGACGGCGCCAGAGGCGTCGCGGCGGCCTTGGACATGGAGCAGGTCAGGAGAGCGGGCGCTGCAGCCCCAGACGGCGACATCGGGCTAGTCAGGTGCCTGGTCAGCCTCGGCCTGGAGAGGGCCCCGAGGCCTGCAGAGCAGGAGGTCTGCCGCCGAGGAGGAGCACTCATCGGGGGGCTAGCCTGCGGCACCGTCTGCATCGACGGCTCGGCGATGGCCCCAGAGGTCAGGGAGCTCACCAGGAGCGGGTGGTCCTGCGTCATGGTGGAGGCCGACGGCACCATCACGGGCGGGATGTTCGGGTGTGTCCCAGGGCCCGTTCAGGAGAGCGGCTACGCCGAGCTCTACGCGCTGGTGCGGGTGCTCAGGGAGAAGGGCCCCCAGCTGGACGTGGTCACGGACTACCTGCGGCTGGTGGAGGACTTCGAGAGAGGAGAGGACTGGTGCCTGGGGCCAGAGTCGCTCAACGCCGACCTGTGGAGGGAGGCCTGGAGGCACATCAGTGACTTGGGGCCTGAGGCATTCAGCTTACAGTGCGTCCGAGCCCACACCAACTGGGCCGCGGCAGCGCTGGCAGACACGCCCTGGGCCTGGCACCGCGGCAACAAGTGCGCGGACAGCAGGGCCAAGGAGGGTGCCAAACTGCACCCGTTTTTCGACGCCGTGATGGCGAGGGCGAGCACGGTGAGAGCGGCCACATGTGCCGCGGAGTCGATCGCCGTCCATCACGGAGCGGTCTTGAAAACGTTGGCGGGCCTAGGCTGGCCCGATCGGAGCCCCCTCCCCCGCCCCAGGCCGTCCCGCGATTCGGTCGTCCTTGTTTCGGGCGAGGGCGGGCACTCGCTGTTGAGGATTGGACGGGCCTGGGGGTGTAAATTCTGCGGGGTTCGCGGAAGGGGCTCCGATCTAGGATTGTATCGACTCCCTGCCCAGGAATGCCTCGGCCCGCAGCGATCGCCCACCCCTCCCATAAGCTCTGGGTTGTGCGCGGGGATCGGGGTCGGGGGTCTGGCGTTGAGGCTAATGGGAGGGGGCTGATCGTCTTCTGCAGAGTCTGCGGGGCCTATGCCAGAAGACAGGTCCACGACCTCTGTCGTCCCTGCCGTCCCTTCGCCTCCCGTCCTCGGTCGGCGGCCCGTCTGGCTAGGATGGCGTTGGGACGACTGAGGTCTGGACGGGAGCCCCAGTCCAACAGATTCTGGGGGCTCCCTTTCCCCTTCTTCGGAGCCCCGTTCGGCCGAGGGCCCAACGAAGGGCCCGACGAGGGGGGGAATTCGTCGGGACCCGAGGTCGAGGAGGCATAGGCTTCCTACTTCGAGGTCGGTCCTGCTCGGCAGTAGGTTAAGCTAGTTCGGCTGGTCTTGCTGGACTACGTTTAGTTAGGACACTGAGGACACTGAGGAGGAGGAGGAGGAGGAGGAGGAAGGAGGAGTATGGATGATCATGGTGGAGAGGGGACCCCGAAGGATCTCCCTGGTGGCTCCAGGCGGGGGCCTCGGCTCCAACGGGCGGGTGTTTGCCGAGCTGGATGAGGAGCCCGCGCGGCGGGGCGCGGCAGATCCCTCGAGTCCTCGCCTTGCGCTTTCTGCGCTCACGCATATATATATATATATATATATATATGTATATATACATACATACATACACACATATATATATATATACGTATATATATATATATATATATATATATATATATATAGTCTTCCTCTGATATTTTTACAAGCCGGGGGGGGGAATCCCCGTCGCCCCCTGCCCCCCCCCAAACTGGACCCCCAGGATCGCCGGTTTCTGGGCCCCCCGGACATCCTTGCCAGAGGTCCCCCGGCTCGTTCTGGACCTCCCAGTGCGCTTAGCCAGGTCCTGCCAGCAGGCCCCGAAGCGACCAGAGCGATGATGAGAGAGGCCGAAGAAAGACCCAAGACAGCACAAGAACGCTCAACGGCCCAGGAGGCCATCAACAGGGCTCCCAGAATACAGAGATCCCTTCGTTCCCTCAAGGGAAACGTGCATTTTCAGTACATTCGCTGTTCGGGTCTTAGCAGCGTCCAAAACAGCCGAGTAAGCCTCTGGTTTCGCCCCAAGACGACCCAAGGGATCCCCAAGAGAGCTTATAAACGGCCTGGATGGCACCGAAACTGTCCAACGAATCCACAAATGAGCCAAAAAGAGGCCCAACAGGTCCTCACAAGGCCCCGAAGCGATCAGAGCAGTGATCAGAGAGGCCGACGAAAACCCAAGACAGCACAAGAGCTCTCCAAGAAGGACCCAGAAGGCCTCCAGAGGCTCCCAAGACGGCCCAGAGGCCCTCAACAGGGCTCTCAGAACGCAAACATCGCTTCATTCCCTTCGGGAAACGTAATTACCTTTTCAGCACATTCGCCGTTCGGGTCGTAGCAGCATCCAAAACAGCCAAGAAGGCCTCCAGTATCTCCCCAAGACGGCCCAAGAGACCCCCAATAGAGCCTCTAGACCGCCTGGACAGCCCCAAGACTGCCCAAGGAAACCACAAATAAGCTAAAAAGAGGCCCAACAGGCCTTCACAAGACCCCAAGAGAAGCCCAAGAAGGCCATGGGAGGCCCCGCAAAAGGCATGGGAGGCCGACACGAGGGCCTACGTAGCCCCCGTCAGGTCCCTAGAGGGCCCAAGCTCCCCAACACGGCCCAAGATGGCTCCAAGACGGCTCGAGACGGCGATTTCCACCAAATTGACCAGAATCCCGGGCTCGCAACCACAAATCCCGGAAATCTGTTGCGAACCCGGTATTCTGTGCATTCTTTGAAAATTATTTGCGTTCGCGTGCCCTGTTGCGACCCGCTGCAACCCGCTGCAACATTCTTCGCCGTCCCCCGACGGCGCCCTCCTCCTGCTCCTCCTCCTCCTCCTCCTCCTCCTCCTCCTCCTCCTCTTGCTGCCGCTCCACCACTCGTCCTCCCCACATCCGCTCCCTTTCCTGGCTCTCCGAGATTCCCTCTACTATCCTTCGCCCTCCACCCGGCGCCTTTCGGGAGCGGCCAGAGACCGCCCGACCTTTCGAAGGGAAGGAGCCACATTCCCAAGGGAAGGGGCCACATTTCCAAGGCCACTAGGGATGGCGCGAACGACCAACGTATGCAAAGCCTCAAGGACCAACATGCATGGCGCGAAGCGCCAATGCAGTCTTGTATATTATGTACACGCATGTATATACACATATATATATATATATATATATACATATGTATATATATATATATATATATGCGTAGATGTGCTTGTGTGTATGTATGGGGGTATGTGTGTGTGTGCGCCTGCTGTGTGCACTGTTGCTGCTCCCTGCCTTGGGGCCTCGATGATCAGTGATGGCGAATCTGATGACGATGGTGGTACCATACGACGACGATGACGAGGACGAGGACAAGGACGAGGTTGGTGCTGATGCTGCTGCTGATGATGCTGTTGCTGATGCTGATGATGATGACGATGATGATGATGATGATGATGATGATGATGATGATGATGATGATGCTGATGATGATGATGATGATGCTGATGCTGATGCTGATGCTGATGCTGATGCTGATGTTGATGCTGATGATGACTATGATGATGATGATGATGATGATGATGATGATGATGATGATGATGATGATGATGATGATGATGATGATGATGGGGATGAGGATTGTGAGGAAAATGAGAAAAACATAGTCGGCGGGTGAGTGCAGCTCACCTTCGTACGCATTCGCACGAGATTGGAGGGGGAGCAGGTGGAGCACGATGATGATAATGCAACGGAGAATGGGTTCACCGCCCGCATTTCCGCCCTTCCTTTACCCTCTGCCCCTTCTTACCGCCAGTGCTTTTTACCTTCTGACCTCTGCCAGATTTCTTAAGAAGGCGATGCGCGTGAGAGCCGATTTCTGCTACCACGCTGGTCTCTTGCCCTCCCGCTCCCCTCTCCTTCCTCTCCTCCGCGGCTCTATGCAGTAGCTTGTTGGTGCACTCATACTTTCCTGGCATTGGCAGTGCACTCAGGATTGCTTCACAGAGGTGCGATGCCATGGTGCAGTCCAGTCCCTATGCTGCCTCCGAAAAATGTAGAGGAGGATGGGAAGGACGCGCAGACGGACCCTGGAAGGGAGGAGTGGGGAAAGTGAGGCTTTTCTCTGACGCGCCGTCGCGATCGACGTCGCCGTCGAGGCCAGCGTCTTCGTCGTCGCCGCCGAAGGACGCGCGCTTTCAGGTCGAGGTCGTGGGCAAGAAGAGCACCCAGTACGACCGCTACCCGGAAGGCCCCGCGGGGGGAAGGCGGGGAGGATCCGTCGGACCCAGCAACGGGATCGACCGCCCCAGAGCGTTCCAGGACGCTCTGAGGGCGTTTACGGAGCGCTCCAGAACGGCCGCGGCGCCCGAGATGTCCTCCAGAGCCGCCGGGCCTCGGAGAGACCCGACTGGTATTATGTCGGGCGTGTTCCCCTACAGGGAGATTCTCGACGAACATTTTTACCTAACAGCTTTTGCTGATAGGTTTCTAGTGGTGTCAAAAGAGAGCATCATGACTCCTCAGGGGGGTCTGGGCGGGTGCCGGGGAGGAGAACCGGGAATCGCTTTTCGCCAACAGTCACACACTTCGTGCTCTTCGACCTCCCAGAACTCCATTCCCGGGCCACATTCTGGAGAACCGGGAACAGAGCCGGGCTCGTTTTTCGTCAACAGTCACACACTTCGTGCTCTTCGACCTCCCAGAACTCCATTCCCGGGCTACATTTTGAGTGCCCGGAGCCAACTGTAGGCCACTTCGTGCTCTTCGAGTTCCCAGAACTCCATTCCCGGGCCACATTTTGGATGCCCGGAGCCAACTGTAGGCCATTTCGTGCTCTTCGATTTCCCAGAACTCCATTCCCGGGCCACATTTTGGATGCCCGGAGCCAACTGTAGGCCACTTCGTGCTCTTCGAGTTCCCAGAACTCCATTCCTGGGCATGATTTTGAATGCCCGGAGCCAACTGTAGGCCACTTCGTGTTCTTCTAGTTCCCAGAACTCCATTCCTGGGCCACATTTTGAATGCTGAGGCAGGCTGATGCTGCGGCCGAGGCAGGCTGAGGCTGAGGCAGGCTGAGGCTGAGGCCGAGGCTGAAGGCAGACTGAGGCTGAGGCTGAAGCAGACTGAGGCTGAGGCTGAGGCAGGCTGAGGCTGAGGCTGAGGCAGGCTGATGCTGAGGCAGGCTGAGGCTGAGGCTGAGGCTGATGCAGGCTGAGGCTGAGGCAGGCTGAGGCTGAGGCCGAGGCTGAAGGCAGACTGAGGCTGAGGCTGAAGCAGGCTGAGGCTGAGGCTGAGGCAGGCTGAGGCTGAGGCTGAGGCTGAGGCAGGCTGTTGCTGAGGCGTGCCTGCGATGCCGTTGCCACTGCGACTGTCATCGCGAATGCGACTACGACTGCGAGAACAGCAGAATTCTACAACTGGATTCTCATCCGAATCTTAAGGGGAATGCTTCCAGATATGCTCCTACACATCGCTGTTAGGTTGCTTTGCCGGGATAATTTCTGTTAACCCACAATACCCCCAAAAAGGTCAAACAATACCCCAAAAATAGTCCCCAGACTATTTTGGGAGTATTTACCTAACAGCGTTTGTTGATAGGTTTCTAGTAGGGTCAAAAGAGAGCATCATGACTCCTCAGGGGGGTCTGGGCGGGTGCCGGGGAGGAGAACCGGGAATCGCTTTTTCGCCAACAGTCACACACTTCGTGCTCTTCGACCTCCCAGAATTCCATTCCCGGGACACATTCTGGAGAACCGGGAACAGAGCCGGGTTCGCTTTTTGCCAACAGTCACACACTTCGTGCTCTTCGACCTCCCAGAACTCCATTCCCGGGCTACATATGAGTGCCCGGAACCAATTGTAGGCCACTTCGTGCTCTTCGAGTTCCCAGAATTCCATTCCCGGGCCACATTTTGAATGCCCGGAGCCAGCTGTAGGACTTGTTGTTCTTCGATTTCCCTTTTTTTCTTCTTGTATTTATTTTTTTCTAAGAACCTATTTCTCATTCCGGGCCACATGTTTGGATGCCCGAGCCCAACTGACTTGTAGGCCACTTCGTGCGCGTCAAGTTCCCAGAACTCCATTCCTTGGCATGATTCTGAAGCCCGGAGCCAAACTGTAGGCCACTTCGTGTTCTTCTATTCCCAGGAACTCCATCCTTGGGCCACATTTTGAATGCTGAGGCAGGGCTGATGCTGAGGCCCGAGCAAGGCTGAGCTTTGAGGCAGGCTTAGGCTGAGGCCGAGGCTGAAGGCAGACTGAGGATGAGGCTGAAGCAAACTGAGGCTGAGGCTGAGGCAGGCTGAGGCTGAGGCTGAAGCAGGCTGATGCTGAGGCAGGCTGAGGCTGAGGCTGAGGCTGAAGCAGGCTGAGGCTGAGGCAGGCTGAGGCTGAGGCCGAGGCTGAAGGCAGACTGAGGCTGAGGCTGAAGCAGGCTGAGGCTGAGCCTGAGGCAGGCTGAGGCTGAGGCAGGCTGAGGCTGAGGCAGGCTGAGGCTGAGGCTGTGACTGCGACTGCCGTTGCCGCTGCGACTGTCATCGCGAATGCGACTACGACTGCGAGAACAGCAGAATTCTACAACTGGATGTTCATCTGAATCTTAAGGGGAATGCTTTCAGATATGCTTCTACATATCGCTGCTAGGTTGCTTTGCCGGGATAATTTCTGGCTTATTTACTACAGCGTTGTTGATAGGTTTCTAAGTAGGGTCAAAAAAAAAAAACCAAAAGAGAGCATCATGACTCCTCAGGGGGGTCTGGGCGGGTGCCGGGGAGGAGAACCGGGAATCGTTTTTCGCCAACAGTCACACACTTCGTGCTCTTCGACCTCCCAGAACCATTCCCGGGCCACATTCTGGAGAACCGGGAACAGAGCCGGGTTCGCTTTTTGCCAACAGTCACACACTTCGTGCTCTTCGACCTCCCAGAACTCCATTCCCGGGCCACATTCTGGAGAACCGGGAACAGAGCCGGGCTCGTTTTTCGTCAACAGTCACACACTTCGTGCTCTTCGACCTCCCAGAACTCCATTCCCGGGCTACATTTTGAGTGCCCGGAGCCAACTGTAGGCCACTTCGTGCTCTTCGAGTTCCCAGAACTCCATTCCCGGGCCACATTTTGGATGCCCGGAGCCAACTGTAGGCCACTTCGTGCTCTTCGAGTTCCCAGAACTCCATTCCCGGGCCACATTTTGGATGCCGGGAGCCAACTGTAGGCCACTTCGTGTCTTCGAGTTCCCAGAACTCCATTCTTGGGCAGATTTTGAATGCCCGGAGCCAACTGTAGGCCACTTCGTGTTCTTCGAGTTCCCAGAACTCCATTCCCGGGCCACATTTTGAATGCTGAGGCAGGCTGATGCTGAGGCTGAGGCAGGCTGAGGCTGAGGCAGGCTGAGGCTGAGGCCGAGGCTGAAGGCAGACTGAGGCTGAGGCTGAAGCAGGCTGAGGCTGAGGCAGGCTGAGGCTGAGGCTGAGGCTGAGGCAGGCTGATGCTGAGGCAGGCTGAGGCTGAGGCTGAGGCTGATGCAGGCTGAGGCTGAGGCAGGCTGAGGCTGAGGCCGAGGCTGAAGGCAGACTGAGGCTGAGGCTGAAGCAGGCTGAGGCTGAGGCTGAGGCAGGCTGAGGCTGAGGCAGGCTGAGGCTGAGGCTGAGGCAGGCTGAGGCTGAGGCTGTGACTGCGACTGCCGTTGCCGCTGCGACTGTCATCGCGAATGCGACTACGACTGCGAGAACAGCAGAATTCTACAACTGGATTTTCATCTGAATTTTAAGGGGAATGCTTTCAGATATGCTTCTACATATCGCTGTTAGGTTGCTTTGCCGGGATAATTTTTGGGGTATTGCTCATTTTTCGCCGAAGATCCCCCTGTAGGGGGACACGCCCGACTTAAGACTGGCATCCCGAGCCCGATGTTGTCCCTGTCCTGCAGGCCAGGGCTCCGGCGCCGGAGGCCCAATGGCACCACGGCTCTGCCCCTCGGCCAGTCCAGGCCTCGGGGTGCAGCCAAGACGCCGAAGCAAAGTGGAGGCCCCTGCCAAGAATCGGGGGTGGACAGACCTCCTACCCTGACACGTCGATTAAGGAGTTGGCCGTTTTCGTTTCGCGAGAGGGCGTCGCGGCCGTCATGTTTGCGGGTCCAGGTCCGTCGGTTTCGGTCCCAGGCCGTTTTCACTAAGGGGAGGTCTACTAAAGGGAGGTTTGTCCATCGCCGAAAGAAGCACCCTGCTTGCCTCCAGGGTGCCATGGGTTTCTCGGGCCTCGATGGTTCTGCTGCGGAGAGGTCTGCTGCGGAGAGGTCTCTTGTGGAAGGTCTCTTGTGGAAGGTCCTGGGGTTTCGGCTTCCGATGTGGGATCCGATTTCCCAATGTAGGTCTAGAAGGCGGCCGATGTCTGCCGATTCGACTTTTCCCGACTTGGCTGCCGATTTCCGTCGATCCGATTCATGTCGATCGCCGATCCGACTCGTCGAGTCGATTCTGGGCTCCTCCTGTGCTTGGCACGCCGGCCTTCCGAAACGCTCCGAGGAGACTGCCGCGACGAACCCCGTGTGAGAAGCAATCCGCGCGATCGGCGGTAAGCTTCTGTTGGAGGGCCCTGCGGGAGTTTGACAGTACAGCCGGGGTCCTGAACAAGGAACCCTTTTCGTTGGGGAGGGGCTCCGCGTTCCTTAAGTGTTTCGTAGCTTGCTTCAGGCTTTCCTTGTGTTTCCGATCGGAAATCGAAGTTTAACTTATGGAAAAAAGGGGCCTCGTTTCTTATTCAGGGTTCCTTAGGTCAATGTCCCGACTGTAACACCAGAACACCCCCAATCCGAGGCGGGAATTTATACATGACCACTGCCTGGAGGATCAATTTCGGGGACCTCGGCAGGCGGTGGATATGGACACATTCGGGCCCCCGGGGGCCAGCATTGATCCCTATCCACCGCCCGCTGGGGTACCAGAACGTCGGTTCCCAGGCGGTGGATATGGATAAATCCCCGCCTCGCACAGAACGCCCCCAGGAGGTTTCTTCAGGGATCCCCGCTCTCCGAGCCGAGCCCACCGTGGCGTCGACGGAATCCATTAGCCTTAGATCGGGCCTGTCCCCCTACAGGCCGATAAGAAACAATTGCAATAGTTACCCAAAATGGTCAAACAATACTTTAAGAACAATCCCCAGACTATTCTTATAATATTTTTGAATGTTCCTCCTGTAGAGGGACAGGCCCGACTTAACGTTAGCCGAAGCCACCGGTCGACTCCAGCGGTAGCCCGCCCAGGAGCCCACTTCGCAGAGCGCCTGGCCGAGCGGGCCGCCCCACGCAGACGCGTTTCGTGGTTTTGCACTTAAGTCGGGCCTGTCCCTCTACAGGAGGAATATTCAAACACAGTCAAAAAATAGTCTGGGGACTATGTTTTCATTTGTTTCCAACATTTCTCTGCTTCTTTGAACATTATCGGGGTATTTTTTTCCATCCCAACTCCGCCTGTAGGGGGACACGCCCGACCTAAGGTTACACGAGCCCGTCCTTGATGACGTCTTCCGTGGCCTTCGCACTGAACACAGCGGAGGGCCGTTCGAGACACCGGTCGTGGGCCTTCGGGGGGGCCCTTCGTCGCCACGGCGGGGCGCAGCTCGTGAAACCGCTGCGTTTGGACCCCAGCCTCGAACGTATCCCTATCCCTAAGATTGACACGCCAGAAGGCGATGACAATCTTAGGGATTCGCCTCAAAATATAAGGGAATCCCTGAGATTGGCATCGTGATGAGGAGGTGCCCAGCATAGGGATAGGGATATGTTCCAGGCTGGTAAAGGAGGGGTCTGAGAACCGATTTTGAATCGCTTTTGAGTTTCCAGTGTCTCAACTCGCCCTCCTCCGACGAAAGTCGGCGAGCTGGCGAAAGCCTAGACCAGCCTCGGCAGAGCGCGACGGCCTGCGACGGAGCCTCCCCGCCCAAGGCGTCCAGGTGCAGCCCGTGCGTCAGCGTTTTCCCTTGCCTCCTCGGTCGTCGGGTCCACGATGTCCTCGGCGCTTTCGCCCGAGGTCCGCAGCGGCGCCGAGGTCGATCTCAGGCTTCAGCGGAGCCCCTTCGACCCTTCTGTGCGATCGCGGAGTCCTTGCGGCCTCGGCGTCCTTGCCCGAGCCGCCCTCTGCGGCGCTCCACGACGGGAGGACTCCGGTTCCTGCGCGGACTCCGCGGCCAGGCCGCCGCTGCCGAGATCGTCCGACCAGCGACCCCTGGCCTGGCCAGATCGGGCAACCAGGGGGCATCGCTCTCGTGCTCCATCCTGTTCCCTCCCCCTCGTCCCTTCCCTCCTCCCTCCCTTCCTCTGTGTTAGGGGCTGCGTCAACGACACGTGGCAGGTAAGCAGGATTTACCCCTAAGGGGGGTGCGATCGGAGGCGAGGAGGGCGGGTATCACTGGTTTGGAATACACATGTTGACTGACACGCGAGCAGGTAAGAGCGAACCGTCTTCCACTTACTGTTGATGATGACTAGGATGAGGATGAGGATGAGGATGAGGATGTGGATGAGGATGATGACGATGACGACGGGGATGATGATGATGATGATGATGATGACGATGATGGTGATTATAACGATGACGATGACGATGATGACGATGCTGAAGATGATGATGATAGTGACGATGATAATGGTGATGACGATGATGATGCTGATAATGATGATGATGCTGATGATGGTGATGCTGATGATGATGACGACGATGATGATGATGATGGTGTTGGTGGTCGTTGTGATGATGATGCTGACGATGCTGATGATGATGACGATGATGATGACAGCAATGATGCTGATGATCATGAGGATGGTAATGATGATGCTGATGGTGGTGGTGGGGGTGGTGTTGATGATGCTGATTATGCTGATGATGACGATGATGATTACGATGACGATGACGATGACGATGATGCTGCTCCTGACGATGGTGATGGTGATGGTGATGATGATGCTGCTCCTGATGATGATTCTGATGATGATGATAATACTGATGATGCTGATGATGATAATGCTAGTGATCGTGATGGTGATGGTGATGATGCTTATGTTGATTTGATGCTGATGATGGTGATGATGATGCTGATGATGATGCTACTACCAATGCTGATAATGATGACGATGATGGTTATGATGATGATGACTATTGATGGCGATGGTGATGATGCTGATGATGATGCTGATGACGATTATGATGATGATGACGATGATGATGATGATGCTGCTGATGACGATGCTGCTGATGATGACGATGAGTACGATGAGGACGATGCTGACGATGATGATGCTGCTCCTGATGATGACGATGATGATGATGATGATGATGATGATGATGATGATAATGGTCATGCTGATGCTGGCGATGACGATGATGATGATGATGATGCTGATGATCATGCTGGTTATGATGATGCTGATGATGCTGATGATGGTGATGTTGGTGATGCTGTTGATGATGATGATGCTGCTGCTGATGATGATGCTGATGGTGATGATGAGGATGATGAGGATGATTTGGATGATGACAATGACGATGCTGCTGCTGATGATGATGGTGGTGGTGATGATGGTGATGATGATGATGATGATTATGACGATGATGATGATGATGATGATGATGATGATGATGATGATGATGATGATGATGATGATCATGCTGATTCTGATGATGCTGATGATGCTGATGATGATGATGATGTTGGTGATGCTGTTGATGATGATGATTATGATGATAATGATTATGATGATGCTGCTGTTGATGATGATGATGCTGATGATGAGGATGTTGAGAATGATGAAGATGATGGACCCCCCCCCCCGCGAGATGCTGCTGCTGCGATGATGATGATGATGGTTGTGGTGGTGATGATGATGCGATGATGATGGATGATGAGATGCTACGATGATGATTGATGATGATGATGCTGATGATAGAGGATGGTGATAGTGCTGATGATGAGATGATGATGCTTGATGATGCTGATGATGATGCTGCTGATGATGATTATGATGATGATGATGATGATGATGATGATGATGATGATGATGATGATGATGATGATGATGATGATGATGATGATGATGATGATGATGATGATGATGATGATGATGATGATGATGATGATGATGATGATGATGATGATGATGATGATGATGTGAGGGCAAAGCGAGGATCCCAGCTCTGGAGCCAGGGTGGAAGGAGACCGGAGCCAGGCTGGGGCCCTTCGGCATCGCCTCCGCCGAACCTCGCGACTTTCGCGGCGGACGTCCTGAAGATCAGGCGGGCACGTGCGACCAGGGGGGGAATTCGGCTCTCCCTGGGAGGAAGAGAATACGAGGAGGCGGAGGAGGAGGAGGAGGAGAAGGAGGAGGAGGAGGAGAAGCAGGAACAGGAGCAGGATCAGGAGCAGGAGGAGGATGAGGAGGAGGAGGAGGAGGAGGAGGAGGAAGAGGAGGGAGGAGGGGGAGGAGAACGAGGAGGACGAGTAGGTCGAGGAGGAGAAGGATGATGAGAGGAGTAGGAGGAGAGGAGGGGAGGAGGAGGAGGAGGAGGAGGAGGGGAGGAGGAGGAGGAGAGGAGGAGGAGGAGGAGGAGGAGGAGGAGGAGAGCAGGAGGAGGAGCAGGAGAAGCAGGAACAGGAGCAGGACCAGGAGCAGGAGGAGGAGGAGGAGGAGGAGGAGGAGGTTGCGGAGGAGGAGGAGGATGGAGGCAAAGAAAGAGAGAGAGAGAGAGGGAGAGAACAGGATGAGGATGAGAAGGACCAGGAGGAGGACAAGGAGGAAGACGAGGACGACGAGGACCCAACGCGCACTGACTGGGCGCGCGCACCGGTGCGCGGCGAGTCTGGGCGCATTGGGTCGGCCGGTGGTGGTGGTGGTGGCCTTTCTGCCTTCGTCGGGCAGGGAGGGGGGGCGCGGTCCTCGCTCGATCTCGGCCGCGGTGGCCGGTCCTCCTCCTCGCCCTCGGGGTTGAGGGCCTCGCCCTCGATGCTCCTCGAGAGCGCGAGGACGGTCGAGACGGAGGGGAGGTGGAGGAAGGGGGCGAGTGCGAGGGCGACGAGGAGAGTGAGGAGAGTGAGGAGGAGAAGGAGGAGGAGGAGGAGGAGGAGGAGGAGGAGGAGGAGGAGGAGGGCAGCGGCAAGGGCAAGGTGGGTGGCGAGGGGGTGGAGGGGCAGGAGAGGAGGAGGAGGAGCAGGAGGAGAAGCAGGAGGAGGAGGAGGAGGAACATGGAGGCCAAGGAGGGGAAGGAAGGAAGGTGAGGTGGAGGAGGAGGGCTATGATGAGGATCAGAGACTTGCAGGGGGAGGGGGAGCATGGTGAGGACCACGGTGAGGTCAGCGCTTGTTTGCTCAGGGGTTTGGTCTCGTTGTATCGAAAAGCGCACGGACAAGGCGATTCCAGGTAGCCCAGGCCTGCCGCACCAGGGATAATACACTTGCGTTTTGAGCCGCGCGCGCAGTAGGCCTTCAATCCCTCCTGCCTTCTGAGAAGTCTCCTTAGTAGCCTCCGATCCCTTGCAAAAGGACTCTTACATTCGTAGGAGGCCTCCAGCTCGTCCGGCCCCGTTGTGCGCGCCGCCAGCAGCTTTTTTCCCAGGGTGGTCATGGAAAGGTGGCGCGGTGGGGAGGGAGGCAGAATGAGAAGGAGGAGGTGGAGCACGACGATGCATGACGATGAATGGAGGACAAGTCAGGAGGATGAGTCAGGACACGGATGATAGAGGAGCAGGAGGACAGTACGGGAAAGTATCAATCATACATTCATCTATATTCTGCCAAGGCCGCTTGTCGCGTGGACCTCATTATCGCCCCTCCTCCGCCGCCGTTTCTTTAGCTCTCTCCCTCCCTACCCTATGCCTCCCCTCTTTCCTCCTCTCCCTCCCTCCTTCCCTCCCTGTCTCCCTCCCTTCTCCTTCGGAGTGCATCCCTCTCCCACACCAGGAATTAACAACCTCGTGGCATCACTGTAAGCCCCCAGGTGCGTCTTCTGTACGCATTCAGATGTGATCCTCCACTGTCTTCGGGCTCAGACTTTACTTTGTTTTGTCCACAGCCCTTTCGGCTTTGAGTAGGTCTCGCTCGCACCTTTCGGCTGCCACGCGTCCGCTATGATATGATGCATCCGTGTGAATGTCTGTGCTTCTCTTGGTCTGTATTGCACTCCCAGCGCTCTCCCGCATCTACGGTCTCATGCCCCTTCTCGCTATTACTTGCTTGCGCTACGTCGCAGACAGGTCATGGTGATCGTTCAATGATCTGTGTATATTGCATTGCGTCTTACTATTCCACTTTCGACCCGCGCGCCCGCTCGCCCGCATACGCCTTCGATCTGCCGCCGTGAAGCCCGTGAGCAAGTTCCACCGCGAAGCCCGCGGCGGTGGCACGACGGAACCCTTTGGCCAACACGGCTGAGCAAGGCTGCGCAGCCAGCCTTCGCCCACCTCGCCTCTTATCTCTTCAAGTACTCTGCCATGGCACACTATGAGTGCTGCCTCCTTTCTCCTCTGGAGACGTGTTGGGGGTGTCTCGCACTCTCCGTACAGTCCTTGTTTTTTTCCACAGGTGTTCAAACATTGATCTGTCCTTTGGGGCTTTTCATTCTGAGCGTCCTCGGTCCTTCTAAAACGGTGTCCCCGCTGCAGCGCGGGTCTCATTTTAGGATCGTGTTTTCGGTCCCGTCGTTCAGACTGGCGCTCTCGTTCCACCGCGGGCTGATTTTCTGGATCCGACTCATTTCTCATCGTTGTCGCACCCCTCCTCCTCCTCCTCCTCCTCCTCCTCCTCCTCCTCCTCCTCCTCCTCGTAGTGGCAAACTGCCAGAAGAACCCCCCCTCCTCTTCCTCCTAGTGGCCCCCCTCCCCCTTCTTCTCCGTTTCTGAACGCAAGGTACCCAGTGGACGTGTGGCAAGCAGCAGGACGAACTACTTCTCGTCGCGCAGCTGGTGCGAGCTAGCGATGCGGATCGCGAAGAACGAGCCGGAGAACCTGCAGAGCGTCATGGAGACATCCGAGAGGGAGCTGCAGGCTATCGAGAGATTCGAGAGAAATGAGGTCGAGGACATCAAGCGTCGCCAGGAACTGCGCGATAGCACGGGCGCCCCTGCTCGACGGCACCGGGATTCTCGGAAAGTGCGCCGCTCCAGGGGGAGCGGCTAGCTCCAGCGGGCGCGCGTGAGCGCGCCCGCTCGCGCCTGCGGCCGCACTAGCGAGGGCATCTCGGAGTGCAGGCCAGCGGAGCCTGCACCGACAGAAGGGTGTATTTTGAGCACCGACAGGCGGCGCAAGAAGACAGGAGACACTGCACATTCAGATGGACACAACACCACTGGGACGACGAGTTGAAAACGAGGGCACCGCAGAGACCACTAGAGCGCTCGCTCCCTAAGGGCCCCGCCTCCAAGGCCTCTGGAAAACCCTCGTGACATCTAGCCCCTTCCGACGCCCACCCCGCGCAGGATGTTTAAAGCAGGTGTTGACGCGCCGTGGAACGACAGAGGGGCACGAGCAGCTTCACAGATATGAATGAAGGCCTCTAACACGCCGTGACCATGGTGGTATTGCTCGCCCCTGCCTGCACGCCGGCTGGGGGGGGGGGGGTATTTCAGAGGTGCACTTTGACTACTGCAGAGAATTTGGATGCAGTGTATTGCAGCACAGGGAATGTGTCGAACGCTACGTTGCGATGTTTGGCAATTGACCAGCACGTCCAGGAAACGAAGTGAGTCTACAGAAGAAGGGGCTCTGTTCGAAACGTGGGGCCCGCAGGGCCTTGGTAGAACATTACTTAGGCACGAAACGGGGCCTCCTGCATTCCCTCCCTCCTCTCCTCCTTTGTCGTTGCGGAGTGTTCGTGTCGCGTTTCTCCCCCCGCTTGGGGGCCCTGCTCGCCCAGCGCGTTCCCAAAGGAATGCCTGCGCGAGAGGGCCAGCAGCTGCTTCCCCCACATTGACCCGTAGGGACTCGCACTCGCATGGCAGCGAGCGTCTTTCACGGGGCCTCCTCGGAACTCGCTCTTTAGAGCATCGGGGTACGCCCTTTGCCGGCCCCGTGAGAGGTCTGGGTCTGCGGGAAATTCCTCTCGCAGTGAATTTTGCAAGTCGAACCCCGCGGCTCCTTAGCGGACGTTTCGACGTTGACCCCCGTCATGCGGATGTCCTGTCCTGTCCTGTCCTCCTCCTCTTCCTCCTCCTCCTCCGCTTTCCCATGGTCCTTCTGCTCCTGCCCGCTCTTTCTGCTCCGGTTCCCGCTGCTGCTGCTCGTCCTCGTCCTCCACCTCGCTTGTCCTCCTCTCGGTTTTCTCCTGCCCGTCCGCCTGCTTCTTCTCCTCCCTCTCCTCCCTTCCCTCCTCCTCCTCCTCCTCCTCCTCCTCCTCCTCCTCTCCTCCTCCTCCTCCTCTTCCTAATACTACTACTACTACTACTACTACTACTACTACTACTACTACTACTACTACACTATACTACTACTACTACTACTACTACTACTACTACTACTACTACTACTACTACTACTACTACTACTACTACTACTACTTACTACTACTACTACTACTGCTACTAACTACTATACTACTACTACTACTACTACTACTACTACTACTACTACGACTACTACTACTACTACTACTACTTACTACTACTACTACTACTACTACTACTACTACTACTACTACTACTACTACTACTACTACTACTACTACTACTTACTACTACTACTTACTACTACTACTACTACTACTTACGACTACTACTACTACTACTACTACTACTACTACTACTACTACTACTACTACTACTACTCTACTACTACTACTCCCCTCCTCCTCCTCCCTCCCTCCTCTTCCTCCTCCTCCTTTTTCCTCCTCCTCCTCCTTTTCCTCTTCTCCTTTTTCCTCCTCCTCCTCCTCTTCCCCCTCCCGCTTCTCTTTCTCCTTCTCCTACTCTACTTTTTCTTTCCTCCCTTTCTCCTCCCCTCTGCCACCTCCTCCTCCTCCTCCTCCTCCTCCCTCCTCCTCCTCCTCCTCTTCCTCCTCCTCCTCCTCCTCTTCCCCCTCCCGCTTCTCCTCCCCCTTCTCTTTCTCATACTTATTCTGTTCCTCCCTTTCTCCTTCCCTCTGCCACCGCCTCCTCCTGTTCTTCCTCCTTATTCTCCTCCCTTTCCCCCCGTCCCGACCGCGCATGACACGATTGGCGTTTTGGAAAAGAGGTTCATGTCCATTGTTGTGGCACGCGTCCGCGGATCGATGAACATGCAGCGCAATGGGAAGGGATCGGTGGGAGGGGTCGGATGTCAGATCTGGCGCGAGCGCTTTAGCTTGATATGAATTTTCTCCCGCAGAACAGGTGCTGACAGTAGGCGTTTCGTTCCAATCCGACGTTCTCGGCCCCCCCACAGTAGTGCTCCCGCTGCAGCTTGGGCCTGCTTTTGGAATCGGGGTTTTGCTCCCGTCGTGCAGGCTCGCGCTCGGCGCTCTCGCCCAGGCGCGGATCGCACTTCTGGATTCGATTCCGTCCTCATTTTTGCCGTCGCCTGTTTTTCCCTCCCCCGGCTTCCCCTGACCCTTTCCGATCTTCCCGCTCCTTCCACTCCAGCTCCTGGTGCTGCTGTTCATCCTCGTCCTCCTCCTTTTTCATCCTCCGTCCTCCCCCTTCCTCCTCCTCCTCCTCCGTTTCCTCCTCCTTCTCCTCTTCTTGGCCCTCCTCCGCCTCTCCTCCTCCTCCTCCTCCGCCTCCTCCTTTCCTACTAAACATCTTCCTGCTCATCCGCCACCTCCTCCTTCTCCTCGTCCTTTTCCTCCTCCTCCTCCTCCTCCTCCACTGTACGCAGCTCCGCTTTTCCGCAGCTCCGCTTTTCCGAAAAGCGGGCCTACCTCCCAAACAGACCCCATTGAATGAGGTCTGTTTTGGAGGTAGGCCCGCAATGACACGCGTCCGCCGATAGAGACAGATGCAGCATAATGGGAAGTGTTCGGCGGGAGGGGTTGGATGTCAGATATGGCGCAAGCGCACTTAGCTTGCCTGGGTGTCGGCTGAGCACGCAAAGACAGCGACGACACCCCATCGACCATACAGTAGATGGAATGGGGCTCGTTTGGTATACGATTCCTCGCCATGAATATCACGTCGCGCCGCCTCGTTCCCTCCATCCCTCCCTCACACGCCCCTTATCGGACCCTCCCTCCTCCCTTCCTCCCTCCCTCTTCCCTCCTCTCTCCTCCCTCCTTCTTCGGTTCCTCCTCCCTTCTCGGTCCCTCCCCCCTCCCTCACGCCTCCCTTCTCGGCCCTTCCCCCCCTCCCTGTTTTTCCTCGTGCCTCCCTCCTGGCTCCTCCATCCTCCTCCCTCCCTGGCCCCTCCTGCCTCCCTCCCTCCTCCCTCCTCCTGCCCTCTCCCTCGCTCCGGCAGGGAGGGTGCACTTTCTCGCCCACTCGGCAGGGTGCACGAGCGGACGGACTGCTTCATCTTCGGCTCCAGAGGAGCCCCCCTGCATGGTCTCGCCGTGGTCCAGGCCAGAAGGCGCGAGGATCGGGGGTAAGGGTTTTCGATCGTCGGCTGCACGTCGCTCCCGCACGTCGTCGTCGGATCCTCGGTTTTTTCCAACGCTGGTATGCGCTCCAGCAGCTGCGCCTCGCCCAGAGCGTCCTGGGGGTGCCTCAGGCGTTCCGAACGGCCGCCGGAGACGCCGAAAACCGAGTGAACCTTCAGGCCGTCATCTTCTCCGCATCTGGATCTTTCAACGGAGCGTCCAGTCATCATCTTCACCCCCCATGTGCGTTTAACAGTTTTTCTTTTGTTCCCCGTTTTCGGTAAATCCTGAATTCCTTTGTTCGGGCTTTTGGATTGCCCCCCCCGAAACCCGACATTCGGGTCTTCGGGTTGGGTTGGGGTGGTCTGGTAGGCATGCCCCTCTTCCTGGCATCGCTCGGACGTGTGCATTTTCTCTCGGCGAGGGCCATCGAGGAGCATCCTTGATCGTTCGGCGAAAAAACCACGCACGAAACCGAAAAAAGCACAGGGGATGGACGTCCGAGCCATGGCCCCTCTTTGCCCTCCCCCCCTCGGCGGCCCCCCCCGGGAGAGGCCCCCACCGCCTCCCTGGGGGGCAGCTCCCCGTCCCGGCCCCGTTTCTGCTCGCCCCTCGGGGAGCCTCCGGCAAGGGCTTTTGGACTGCCCCCCCCCAAGACCCGACATTCGGGTCTTCGGGTTGGGTTAGGGGTGGCCTGGTAGGCATGCCCCTCTTTGCCCTCCCCCCCCAGCGGCCCCCCGGGAGAGGCCCCGACCGCCTCCCTGGGGGGCAGCTTCCCATCCCGGCCCCGTTCCTTCTCGCCCCTCGGGGGGCCGCCGGCAAGGGCCCCCCCCGGAGGGCCGACACCTCCTGGCAGAATCGGGAGCCTTCCCTGACCTTCCAGGAGGGCTAAAAAATGGCACCCGACTTACAAACCTATCCCAGAGCTATGCTACGTCCTGGTTTAGGCGGTTTCGCTCAGTTTTTTAGGTTTTTAGGTCTCCGGTGCTAAAAAATAACTCTCTGGAAGGTCTGGGTTGAGACGGGGGTCAATGCAAACGGGGGTCAGCCAGGGCACCAGATCCTGCAGGATCCTCGTCGTCCTCCTCCTCCTCCTCCTCCTCCTCCTCCTCCTCCTCCTCCTCCTCCTCCTCCTCCTCCTCCTCCTCCTCCTCCTCCTCCTCCTCCTCCTCGCCTCCTCCTCCTTCTCCACCCCTCGATCGAGAAACGGCTCTCGAGCCATCCTCGTCGTCGCCGGTCCGTCGAGAATCGACCTTTGGATGTTCGGGAGCCTCGAGACGTGGGTCTGTGCAGACGGGGGTCAGCCAGGGCGCCGGATCCTGCAGGATCCTGCGAAGAGCCCCTCTGGCTGACCCGGGTCAGCGAGCCGCTCGTGACCGCGGGGCGGCCGCGTCCATTGGCGGACCCGGGCTTGCGAAGATCTGCGCTGCAATTTTTGTTCCTGCATGGCAGTTTTTGGTTCCCGCTGACCTGGGTCTGGATTGACCCGGGTCAGAAGATCCCCGACAAAAGCCGGCCGAAAAAGAATCGCACCGTCGGAGGTCTGCGCTTCAGTCGGGCACGTCGCTGCTTTATACAGGAGGAATATTCGAGAATAGTCAAACTTTCGTCTGGGGGTTTTCTACTGTTTTCGATAGTTTTTGCACATTCTTGGGGTCATGTTTCATTTTTCTTCCAAAATCCGCCGCCAGGAGGACATGCCCGACCTAAGTCTGCGCCGCTCGCACGGGTCGGCGCCTGCCGCGGCTCCCCGGAGGGCTGCCCGAGCAGTGGTCCGGAGGGCTCCAACGGGGGTTTCGGGGGAGGGGGTTTCCCAGAGAGCCCCCCAGGGGCCTCGGAACCTCGTCAAAACAGAGGGTGCGAAGCCCCTGGGGGGCTCCTCCTGGAAAACACCCTCCCCAAGAGCACCCTTTGGAACCCTCCGGGTTTGGGAGACGTCGCGCCATGGGCGCGCACCGCAGGAGGGTGATCAGGTTCGCCACTCGCGAGCGCAAGATTCGCCAGCGCTGGGCAGATAGTGGAACGGGCAAAGGCATGCCATGAGTCAGTCGGCGACCCTGCGATTGGGGCCAAAACCCTCTGTGGAACCCGCCGGGTGGTAGGGCCGGCCCTGCCGGCCCTGCCGTCGTGGGAGCGCGCGGGGCCCGCGCGCGCGGCCGCGCGGTTTTTTTTTTTGCGAGCTGGCTCCTCGCCCGGCTGGCCCGAGGAGGTGGAGGAGGGAGGACGAACGGGGGCGAGGGGCGAGGGGCGAGGAGGAGGAGGATTAGCGCGTGGTGGAGGGGGCGTTCGCCAGGTGACTACTAGCCGCCCGCGGCCAGGGATCCCGCAGTGGGGATGGGCCGTAGGACTCGGCGGAGCTCCAAACGCCGAGCCACTCCCTTCTGTCAGGGCTGCCGTGCATGATTTTCAGGGAAGCACCACCCTTTTGGGAAGCTCTCAACCTGATTTACTGTCTTCTACGGTCTGTCTTTACAAGCTTTGAACGACGGGGCAACACATACTAAGCACAGTGCCACTTAGAAACAAGACACCTGCACGAGTGCACATCGCAATAGTGCACAAGACAAGAAATTCAAAGCAACACAGATGCAGACCACGGCTCATCACGGAGAGCGGGGAAGACTAATCCCACGGGCCTCTCCCACGATTCTTATGCACCAATGGGCAGCGGAATGCAAAGGCCAGGAGCGAGCCCTAATTGCAGCATGGCTTGCCTCAGGCGGCAAGCGGAGAAAGTTTAAACCATCCAGACTTATGATGGATGTTTTGCATGGCACGGGCCTTGCCGTACTCGCCGACGCATTCCTTCCACCAGTCCATGTTGTCAGACTTCGTTAGCAGGTAGTCGCCCATCCGGCCGGAGACTGGCATCGCAGGCGTTTCCTTCTCTTCGAAGTCCCTGTACCACCCGTCCTTGACCAGCATGAACTTCATGTGTTTCCGATTTCGGCATAGCGGAACTGCTTGTATTTGTGGGTGGCGCAGTCCTTGCCGTACTTGGCAGTGCAGCCCTTCCACCAGCCCATGTTGTCAGCCTTCTTCTGCAGGTTTGCGACCTTGTTGATCTTGCGATCGCCTGGGGCATCGATGACGACTGTGTAGTGCCACTTCTCGGTGTAGAAGTCTTGGGTGGTGCAGGCGCTGGTCACCCCGCTCTCGTGCTCCTCTTTCTGACAGTCCATGTAGAACGTGAAGGCGATGGGGCCTGGTACTAGGCATACGGCCTCCTCCTTCAGCTTCACCAGCTCGCGTTGCGGAAGGCCGCCCAGGTCGTAGTTGAGGCGGGCGGTGGTGGTGCTCTCACCGATGTCGACATGCCCGCAGATCACGATGGAGAGGTGCTCCTTCGCAAGAGTGGCAGGCATGGCAGACTGGTGGGGGACGATCCGAAAAACTCTGGGAGCGGAAGCGAACGCGAAAAGTTCGAGCCCCAAGCTCCTGGACCTGACCAGGAGTGAAATGCTGTGGTGTCCTCGGCCCCCAGAGGCCGAGGACTTGAGCCACGAGGAGGAGGAGGAGGAGGAGGAGGAGGAGGAGGAGGAGGAGGAGGAGGAGGAGGAGGAGGAGGAGGAGGACGCGGAGGAGGGGGTGGAGGCGGAGGGGGACTGGGAGGGAGTGTGGGAGTGTGATTTTGAGGCAGGGCTCCTGCGGGTGCCATGGCCAAGGCTCGGGCAGGTCCAGCCGATCGGCACGCAAACGGCGTGCCCGAGCATCCCGCAGTCCTCATTTCGGCTTCCTGTCTGCGCTGTACTGCTTCGCGAACGCCGAGCTTCCTGGCATGAAGCCCTTGTAGATCCTCGCCAGGTTCTGCCTCCCAGCCTGCTTGATGGGCTGCGCGAGCTTCTTCGCCAGGTCCTTCGTTGTCTCCTTTCGCGAAGGCTCCGCACTTCGTGCAGCAGTGGACCTCCTGGGTGCGGTCGAACTCTGTCTCGCGCGACGGGTGCGCCGACAGTTGCCGATCGTGGCCGGCGGCGCCTGCAACGCGCCCAAGGGAGAGTCCCTCGTGGATGCCGCTGCCGCGCACTCACCAGCCAGCCGCGCTTCCGCTCCCTCCTTCGGTGCCCTCGGACAACACCGTGCACACTCGCAGTGCTTCTTGCGGGGTTCCTCCATCACGTTGTGCTTGGTCTCCGCCAACAGCTGCTCGACCCACTTCAGCTTGAAATTCCCTTGCCGTCTCGCTTCTCTTGACAGTGGTTGTGATGGCTCCGCTTCCACTGCCCCGCCATGAACGTCGCCACCGCACGCTTTCTTATCAACGAAGCAATACCCTCCGACCATCTCATGGTAAGTACGGGCATCCGCCTTGGGCACCTGCACCTGCTCCACCATGCCTTCCAGGAAGTCGTCCGCCAGCTCGTTGCCCAGGTAGTCGTTGAAGCTGCTGCCTGAGTGCATCCGCTCCTGCTACGACATGTCATGTGGCTCCCGACCTTCACGGCCTCCAGCTGCCTGCCGACGAGCGCTGCCTTGACCTTCAGAGTCGTTCGTGCGTCCTCGGCATCCTCCCCGTCTCGAGCCTCGCAACTCCTCGTGCCACGTAGCTCGAGCCCGCGATGTACCCGATCCTCTTGAAGCCCGCCGCGTCGACCAGCAGCTCCTTCATGGCCATGAGCTCGCCTCTGTTGACGCTCTGACGCCAACCAGCGAGTCCACCACGGCCCCCAGGCACGAACAGCGGTCTGCCCCCTTCGGTCTCCATCACGACGCATCCCTTCGCGATGCGCCGAAGTCGCGGGTCTCGCATTACGCATCGCCAGCCGCGGCGAACCAGTCCTCCCTGCGTCCAGTTCTTGGGCAAAATGCCCCTCAGCCAAATGCACGGCTGCACCTCCATCTTTTTTAACGCTCTCGACACGAGGCACTTCGACCTCTCGCAGTCCCCTGTGCTTTTCGTTGCACGTGCACTTCCACACGCTGTGCTCTCAGGACTCGGCCTCCTCGCCGCGCCTGGGGCACGTCACGTCGCCGGCCTCGATGCCCAGGCTCGCGGCCCTTTTCCTCGGCCAGCCTCCGCCTGCCATGATCGCACGCGGCGCCCCCGCCGCCTCGTGCCTGCCCTTCTCCTGGAGCTTCCGCCGCGCCGCCCCCGCCGAGTGCAGGCCCGCTCCGCTCTCCGAGCCCGCTTCAGCGTGGTGCTTCGCCGCGCCTGCCCACTGCTCGCGCTCCACGGTGCTGCCGACCGCAGCCTCCCGGTCGCCGGTGCCCACCTCCCCGTCGAGCGCGCGGGCGGGCCTTCGCCGCCGGATGCCTCGCCCTCGCGCGGCGTCCAGTGCCGCGGTCCGTGAGGCGTCCGGCCCCGGTTCGGGACGGCGCGGGCAGCCGCTCTCGTGGTGCTGTGGCTCCTCGCCGTCGGCGCTTCGCTTCCTTTCTGAGCAGCTGCCGCCGTTACTTCTGGCCAGGTCAGTTCGGCCTTCTGCCTGCACGCCTCGTCGCGAATGGTGTGCATCCAGGAGTCCAGCTGCGCGAACACAGGCCCTGTGCCCAGGATCTCCTTTCCTCAGCTCCAGCTGTATGGACGCCGTGAGGCAACGTCCTCTCAGCCTCGGCGCGATGACTGCTGCAAGCCTTCTCATTCACTTAAGCACCACCGACGGCGCCATGCCGAATATGTTGCAGGAGTAAGCGGCCCTCGGTAGCGATCCCCTCCGTGCGCACGATGCCCACTCCTCAGCTTCCTCATCGCCTTCTCCACCTGCCGGCCGGCATGCGCAACCCGCTTTGCTTGCTTGCCCTTCCCGCCTGCGATGTTGCCCCTGTCGATCCTCAGGTCGGGTGCCCGCTCCTTCTGCTTCACCGTGATGTTATGGCTGCGCAACTTGAGCACGATATCCTGCGTCATCTCACTGTCGTGGCCGATCGCCGCCGACTTCGTGGACAGCACCAGCTGCGCCTTCTTGACGCCCGCTGCCACGTCCGCTCCAGCCCAAGTCAGCTGCTTGACAACCTCTGCCCTGGATTCTTCGACCCTCGTCGTGGCGTCGGCCACCCAGGAACGCACGTACACCTGCTCGACTTTGTACTATCATCTTCAGCATCGCATAGAGGACGACCTTGCCGAAGTCGATCCCTCTCCTGGCTCCTGCACACACTGACCTGTCGGGCGCGGTCGGCTGCGCGTAGGCTGTCCTCTCCCTCACGTGCCGAGCGCTCAGGTGGCTCAGCATCTCCAGGTGCAGCGTGTGCGCAGGGAGGCCCAGACAGGGCCCCTCGTCCAGGCTGAGGAGCTGCTCCAGCGTGTTATGAAATTCCGGCAGGAGCCATAGCACCGTGATGGTGATGATGGTGGTGGCGATGGTGGTGGGTATTATGCCAACAAGGATGATGACGAGGAGGAGGAAGAGGAGAAGGAGGAGGAGGAGGATCATGACGATGTTGCGGATCATGATGGGAAGGACTATGGCTATAAGAGGAATACGATTCTGAATATAACGATTGTTGACGATGATTGGTTGTTGATGATAGTGGTGATGATGTTCATGATGCTGAGGATGATGCTGGTGGTGATGATGAGTATGATGTTGAGGACGACTACGATCATCACGATGATAATAATGATGCTGATGCTGTTGAGCCGATGATGGTGATGATGCTGCTGATGATGATGATGATCATGATCATGCTGATCGATTTTGGTGGTGATGATGGTTGTGATAATGCCGGTGATGACGATGATGATGCTGACGATGATTGTTATGATGATGATGATGATGATGATGATCTTGACGATGATGATGATGATGATGATGATGATGATGATGACGATGATGATGATGATGATGATGATGATAGTGATGCTGATGTTGATGTTGGTGAAGATGGTTCTGATGTTGGTGATGAGGATGAGGATGCTGGTTGGCGATGATTGGTAGTGGGCGAGAATAATATAGGTGATGATGGTTTCGGTGGTAATTATGAGTGATGCTGATAATCATCAGGATGAGGCTGAAGACGATGATGGTGATGACGATGATGATGACGATGATGATGATGATGATGATGAATATTGATGATGGTGATGATGATGGTGAGGATGGTGATTCTGATGCTGATGATGATGATGCGGATGATGATGATGCTGATGCTGATGATCATGCTGAAGCTGATGCTCTTGTGTCTGCTGTTGGTGATGATGATTACGATGATGATGCTGATGATGATGATGATGCTGATGCTGATGCTCATGCTGATGCTGATACTGCTGATGGTGATGATGATCTCGACGATGATGATGATGATGATGATGATGATGATGATGATTCTGGTGGTGATGATGATGATGGTGATGGTGTTAGTGATGCTGACGGTGATGATGATGCTGATGATGATGACGACGACGATGATGATGATGATGATGGTGATGACGATGATGACGATGATGATGATGATGATCGTGATGACGATGATGATGACGATGATGACGACGACGATTATGATGATGATGATGATGATGATGATGATGATGATGGTGATGACGATGGTGATGACGATGATGATGTTGATGATGATGACGATGATGATGCTGCTGCTGCTGATGATGATGATGATGATGATTGTGGTGATGATGCTGATGATGCTGATGATGCTGATGATGATGATGATGATGATGATGATGATGATGATGATGATGATGACGATGATGATGCTTCCTCCTCCTCGTCCTCTCCATCCCCTGTTTTCCTTCCTCATCACTCACAACGATGCCGCCGACGACGCGGCGGCGGTAGCGGCAGGGGTGGCGACTGCGGCGGCGACGGGAGGCCTTCAGACCTTCAGAGCCCAAAAGGGGTGCGTCCGGCGGCGGTGGCGGCGAGCGCCCCGCCCTCGGCAGGAGGCCAGTGCGTGCTCCCTGCGCTGTGGCAGGCCGTCGGCGACCGCGTGCCCCCGTGCGTGGTGCTGAACGGTGCCCCCGCGGGGGGTCCCTCTGAGCTCGAGGGGGGCACGCGGGATGCGGTTGGCGCTGGAAAGGTGGCATGCGACGTGGCGCCGCCGGCCCGCTTATTGCGCGCCATGCCCTCGCCTGGGGGATAGCGTGCACCGACGAAGCCCTGGCAGGGGGATAGCGTGCACGCTGTGCCCCAACCTCGGGATGGCGTGCACGCCATCTTGCCAACGCCAACCGTGTGCAGAATTCGAGGAGCACAAAACTGCATACTCATAATTTCTCGGAGTCGCGGGGACCTTGGATCTGCGCTGGGCCAGACAGCTGCGACGGCTGGCGGCGACGGCTGCCGTCGGCGGCCGCGCCCTTGTTTCCGGTGCAGCGTGCAGCGCTGGCGGCGCGCGCGGGGCGTAGGTTTAAGTCGGGCTTTTCCTTCCTACAGGATGCATGCTCAACAATTGGCAAAAATAGTTTCGGGACGATTTTATAATCATTTTTGACTATTGACGAATACTTTTTGGACAATTTTTTTTTCCGTCGAGAGTCCGCCCGCAGGGGGACATGCCCGGCCTGAGCGTAGGTTCGCTAGGCCATCTCGCGCAAGACCCTTTGCTTCTCGCCGCCCACGCGGAGCCCACCGCCCGCCCCGCTCGCCGCCCGCAAGGGCTGCGGGGCCTCCTGGCCGTCGGGCGCCCCGCCGCACGGCGGCGCGCGGGACGGCTCCACCACGCCAGCGGTAGGACGAGAGCCCCACCGTTGCTGGGCCTGTTTTCCACCACCTCCACCACCAGAAGTTGGAGGAGGAGGAGGAGGAGGAGGAGGAGGAGGAGGAGGGGGGGGGGGGGAGGGGGAGGGGGAGGGGAGGAGGAGGAGGGAGGAGGAGAGGAGGAGAGGAGAGGAGGGAGGAGGAGGAGGAGGAGGAGGAGGAGGAGGAGGAGGAGGAGGAGGAGGAGGGAAAGGAAAAGGAAAAGGAGGAGGAGGAGGAGGAGGAGGAGGAGGAGGAGGAGGAGGAGGAGGACCCCCTCCTGCTTGTGGTGGTGGCGATGGAAAACAAGTCCACCACCCCCTTCCCGCTGCCCTTGCGCCTGCCCCGGCTTTGGAGAGGCTCGGGCCGGGCACGCGTGGCTGGCCAGAGGGGGGGCGCCAGGGGTGGGGTGGGGTGGGGGGGCCGAGCAGACGCGGCCCGAGAGCCGCCTGCCTCGTGATAGGCCGCGCCGAGGGCCGCGTCGGGGTCCGCGGGTGCGTCGCTGCGCCCCCGCGGCTGACGCCTTCGCCCGTCCGCCCGTCCCCCCGCGGGCCTGGCTCTGGGAGCAGCCGTGCGGCCGGCCCGGGGCTCGCGGCGTGGCCTCGGGGCGGTGCGGCCGGGGTGGGCGCGCCCTCGGCGGGTCGGGGCGCGTCCCCGTCGGGCCAGGGCGCGCTCGAGGAGAGGGCCAGGGGCCGATTCCGAGGGGCCTTCCTCTCGTCGTCGGTGTCGGCGTGGAGTCCGTGGAGGTCGTCGTCGTCGTCGTCGTCGTCGTCGTCGTCGTCGTCGTCGTCGTCGTCGTCCCCCTCCTCCTCCTCCTCCTCCTCCTCCTCCTCCTCCTCCTCCTCCTCCTCTCCTCTTCTCCCTCCTCCTCCTCCTCCTCCTCCTCCTCCTCTTCGCTCGCTTCTTCTCCCCTTTTGCTCCCTTTCTCCCTCTTCTCCCTCCTCGTCCACTCTCCTCCCTCGTCCTCCTCCTTTCCTTCCTCCTCCGCCCCTCCCCTACCTCTTCTTCTTCTCTTCTTTGTCTTGCTCTTCTTCTTCTTCTTCTTCTTGTTCTTCTTCTTCTTCTTAGTCTTACTATTATTAATGTTCTTGTTATTACTTTTACTCTTCTTAGGATTTTTCTTCTTCTTCTTCTTCTTCTCCTCCTCCTCCTCCTCCTCCTCCTCCTCCTCCTCCTCCTCCTCCTCCTCCTCCTCCTCCTCCTCCCCCTCCTCCTCCTCCTCCCCCTCCTCCTCCTCCTCCTCCTCCCCCTCCCCAGTCGTAATTGTCCCTCGCATTGGGCACCCATAGCTCTGAAAGAGCGCGTTTTGAGGTCGCTTGGAGTGGGGGGGGTTTGGAACTGGCCTCCCCCCCCCCTGGATTGAGCGGGGGGGGTTCAACCCCCCCCCCCTTCCCGTGACGGAGGCGGGGGGGTTCGAACCCCCCCCCCGCCTCCCCCCCCTGCTTCCCCTCTCCTCGGGCCGGCGCTTGCGTCGGCGGCGGCTGGGGACGGCGGCGGGGACGATGATTTCCATTTTTGGGTCGGCGCCGGCGCCTGCGGCGGCGGGCGGCGGTGGCGGGGAGCGTCGACGAGGACGACGGTGGTGGTGGTGGTGGTGGTGGTGGGTTGTGGTGGTGGTGGTGGTGGTGGTGGTGGTTTGTGGTGGTGGTGGTGGTGGTGGTGGTGGTGGTGTGTTGTGGTGGTGGTGGTGGTTGTGGCGGTGGGTGGTGGTGGTGGTTTGGTGGTGGTGTGGTCGTGGTTTGTGGTGGTGGTGGTGGTGGTGGGTTGTGGTGGTGGTGGTGGTTTGGTGGTGGTTTTGGTGGTGGTTGGGTGTTGTGTGGTGGTGGTTTGTGGTGGGTGGTGGTGGTGGTGTGGTTGTGGTGGTGGTTTGTGGAAGTGGTGTGGTGGTGGTGGCGGTGGTGGTGGTGGTGGTGGTGGTTTTTGGTGTGGTGGTGATGGTTGTGCTGCTGATAGTGGTGGTGGTTGTGGCGGTTGTGGTGGTGGTGTGGCAGATTGTGGTGGTGGTTGTGGTGGTGGTGGTGGGTTTTTGTGGTGGTGGTG